AGCGCCCCACAACTTACACACACTTAAAAGGGGTAACTGTTTAATGTGCCAATGCTAACCCTGTTTAAGTTTGCTTTTCGCCTTACTGTTGGAATTATATCCCGTCCCAATCTTTCTCCCTTCCCGATTTCTGTAGTTGATTTCTCCTTTATGGTGTAGATGCCTCCTGGTCTCCTATCTACCCTTTCCATCGTATTACCTTATACTCGTTGGGATTGAATTCCAACAGCCATTTGTTTGCCCACTCCAGGAGTTGGTCAAGGTCTTCCTGTAACTTCTTATATGGTGGTGTAGGTGGGTGACGGATAGCGTCAAATAAAGGTTCATGTGGGGTGGTGTGGGTGGGTGGGTAAAGGATCACGCCAGTTGAAGGTCAGTGTGGGTGTGTTGGGATATGGGTGGGTGAAGGTGTGGGTGTGAGTGGATATGGGTGGAGGGGTGGAGAAGGAAGGCGGGACTCCACCTGCAGCGTCACCACCCAGCAGGGCAGGGGACGGAGGGCGGGGTTCTGGACCAACACCAAACACGGCTGTGTGCGCTACACTACCACTAAATTATACCACTCATCAGACCACACTCCCGATTTATGGCACCACTATTTACCACTCATCGTTTTGTGTATTATTCTCCCCCATATTGTTGCTGCTAAGTCACTTTCACTACCTCCAAATATGAAGCTCGAAAGAATTAAAATTTGAGATTCTTTGTACAACAATTGCTACGCCTTTAACTGCAAAAACTCTGGCCAAAATTTCTTCACACGCCCAGACTGACAAAACAAATGTGCAATTGCCCAATCCCTGCGTAGGTAAAAACCCACAAAGTATACATAACCAAATTGTTGATCAATACATATTGCCCCAGAGCCATAGCCTCTGGGGCAATATATATTGTCAGTCGAGATATGAATTATTTTGTATAATGACTCTTGCATGGATTACACGCGTCAGTTTGTATTTGTGATGTATTTAACGTTAAACATTTCACGATGATCACCAATAATATATATATATATATATATATATATATATATATATATATATATATATATATATATATATATATATATATATATATATATATATATATATATATATATATATATATATAGACTATTGCCACCAGATTATATTGTTGATCCTTACTCCTATATTATTGATGAGCATAAAAATATTGATTTTTTTCAAACATATACCAATGCAATTATTGTATTATTGACATTGTAAATGTAAACATGTCATCGAAACTTAAACAAAATTATACGTAATATAAGTATCCCTAGGCTTGTTAGACCTAGGATCGATTTCATAAGGCTTAAGATTGCTTGTATTGTGTTAGGTGTTTGTCTTCCGTTTCTTTTTGTGTTTCTATGGCATAAACTTGCGTAAAAAAATTAATAGTACGAACGTGAACAGGTCAGGTATATTGGTGCAAAGAGCAATGTTTTTTTGCATATGTCGCTGTGTGTACTATCATTTTGGAGGATGTGCTGGTGTGTAGTGGCTGGTGAGGGAGGTGTGTAGTGGCTGGTGAGGGAGGTGTGTAGTGGATGGTGTGGGAGGTGTGTAGTGGGTGGTATGGAAGGTGTGTAGTGGGTGGTGTGGGAAGTCAGGATGGTGCACGCTCTTTAACCCGTCAATTAAAACTTTCTTAACTCAATTCCAGCATTAATAACTTCCCTAACAGGCACAAGACTGACAGTCAAGATTAATATGGTGAGTGTTATAGTTTTTCCCAATGTTCTTACTGAATGTATTTACAGGCCGGATATAAATCTTTGTTATTGCTCTTGTACATCATTACTAGCTCTTATTTATATAGATAGTGAAAATAAACAATTGGTCTATTTATGTCTCTCTCTGACGTTGTCACTTGTCATGACCTCAAAAAACATTAACATTATCTCGTGTGTGCGATTAAATCTCTATTGGCAGTTTAAGTAATTCTCATGTAAAATATTAGCACTCCTATTTCACATCTAAATCAAAACACTTATTATATAGTTTAATAATTAATGCTTTATACACAAAATACACCTAAGTTTTTTTTTATATATATGCATTAAAATCTACATATATAAATGCTTGTATAAAGGTATTCTGTGAAAGATGTACTAATCTTTTCATCTTACCATTTCAGTTAATTGAACTGATACACCAATCTTGAGTCGCTGTGACTTAGCATGTTTCGCTTTATCTACAATTATACAAGATCTCTGAAATGCTTGGAATTAATGTGACGTCCGTTTCTTATGCACGTATGTTTACCCATTTGTATTTATTTTGTTTGTGACAATTACCACAGCTCCCATATTCGCTTGCACAACTGAATTCCTCTTTTAACTTTGGTCTGATTTAACAAGCTAAATTTGCGTTCCAAATATTGCAAAGATGTGCCTGCACTTGCCACTGGGATTCATGACTTATCCATTCAACCACTTAGTGAGGATAATTAATATTATATCCAGGGGAGTTTTATTATTTTACGAAGCGCAAAAAAAGAGCAAGTGAAAAAAGAGGAAGAAAGCAGTAGAAAGGGAGGGAGAGAGAAGTTAGAGAGGATAAAATAGGAGTGAGAGGCTATAAGAGAGGGGAAGAAGTGAGAAGTCGGGAGGAAAATGTAAAAAAGGAAGGAAGGAGAAGTAAGAAAGGAAGGAGGGAGAAGTAGGGAAGGAAGGAGAGAAGTAAGAAAGTAGGGAGGAAGAAGCAAGAGAAAAATTAAGAAAGAGTAAGAGGAGGAGGGAGATGTTGGAACAAGGATAAAAAGCAAAAAGAGGATGTATGAAGAAATAAGATGAATGAGGAAGAAATAAGATGAATGAGGGAGAAGTAAGGGAGGAAGAAAAGAAAAGTAAGAGAAGAAGGTGGGAGAAGGTAAGAAAATAGGGAGAAATAAAAGGAGTTGGAAGGAGGTGTAAAAGAAATAAGTGGAAAGGCTGAGACAAAGAGAAAGTAGAGAAAGAAAACGAGAGAATGAAGGTAAAAAAGAAGAAATAGGAAGAGAAAGAGTAAGTCGTGGTATTGAAAGAGAAGGATGATGATGATGCTCTAAAAATTCACTGATGGCGATGGTTGCCAGAGGCCGCAGCTATGCACAGAACAGGTGGTGTCTGCTGTCATCAGTGTCAGCCTAAAGCAACACAAGTCTGCGGTGTCTCTTACACTGCCATGTGTCACTGCTACAACACACACACACACACACACGTTCACCTCCGTCTATTTCTGTTTTTGTACGTTAACAGTGAAATATTTTCAATCATACGAAATGTCAAACGTGTTAGCGGATTTCAATTTTTTTGGTAGGCGGATTTCGAAGTTTTTGTTGGGTGTTTTGGAATGTTTTGTTGGCGGACTTGGCTTTTGTTGGCGGATTTTGATTTTTTTGTTGGCGGATTTGGAATTTTGTTGTGGATTTGGAATGTTTTTTAGGGGATTTAGAAATTTTGTTAGAGGATTTTTTATTTGTTTGTTGGCTAATTTGGAATTTTTTGTTGGCGAATTTGTTTTTTTTGGCGGATTTGGATTTTTTTGTTGGCGGATTTGGATTTTTTTTTGGCGGATTTGGATTTTTTTGGCAGATTTGGAATTTTTTGTTGGCGGATTTGGATTTTTTTGTTAGCGGATTTGGAGGGTTTTTTTGCGGGTTTGGAATTTTTGTGTAGATTTTTATTTTTTGTTGGCAGATTTGGAGTTTTTTTGGGGCGGATTTGGATTTTTTTATTGGTGGATGTGGAATTTTTCTTGGTGGATTTGGAATTGTTTTGTTAACAGATTTGGATTGTTTTTGTTGGCGGATTTAGAATTTTTTTTGTCAGATTTGGAATATTTTGGTTGTCGTATTTTGATTTTTTCTTGACGGATTTTAATTTTGTTGTTGTGGAGGATTTGGATTTTTTTTGGCGGATTTGGATTTTTTTGTTGGTGGATTTTTATTTTTTGTTGGCAGATTTGGAATTTATAGTTAACGGAATTTTTTTTTGTTTGGTAATTTGGAATTTGAAGTCTTGTCCCATACTTCCTGGGGAGAGTCGTGTTGTTAGTGGAAATGTCTATGTTCAGACATAGACAGACTATGTCTATGTTAGTGTAAATGTAATGTTCAGCAGATATGGCAACCCTACCTAATAAGGGTCCTGTAGCATAGTGGTCTACGTAATCGGCTCACAACCGAGGGACACGGGTTCAATTCCCTGCCAGGACAGAAACGGTTGGGAACGTTTCCTTTCACCTGTTGCCTCTGTTCACGTTGCAGTAAAATACATACCCGGGTGTTATGCATGTGTTCTGGGGTTCCATCCTGGGACCTCGATAAGCTTCAGTACAGGTTTTCGCGTCCTCGACAACTGGAATTATTAATTATTATGCTTCATTTAACTATTCACCTATCAATAAATGGGTACCCGGGAGTTAGGCAACTGTTGTGGAATGCAAGCTGGGGGAAGGTCAGCCGTTTGTCTAAGGGGACCTCAATAACTCTAACAAGCTTCCTGTTCCAGACTATGGGAAACCATCTTTTATGATTCATTTCAAAGACACTTCCCCCTCAGGGCCTCAGCAAGTATTTCCTTATCACTCTTTGTCTTAAGAACAACACTAATATATATTCTTCAGTGACAAATTCTGAGCTTACAGCATGAATTAATACAATATCAGGCAATGAAAATACAGATACTGGCTTCAGTTATTGAGGACATATTTTACATGCATAAATATTGAAATTGTAAGGCATAAAATCATAGAAAATGAGTGTTAAAAGCAGAATGTGATAGTTTCCCTTCCCGTTTTCTCTAAACAACTTCCTCATGCGGGTGGTAAACAACAAAAGAATTCGGATGTTGTAAACTTGGCTTCGTCTTCATTTCTTGACATAATTCTTGATTGAACATCTTGATTGACACTTATATCTTAATAAATAAAATACTATAGCAATTAGTGATGACAGTAATTATTTATCATGGCTCTATATTAAGTAATATTGTAACTACCTACGGTCTAAATTGTGAACAAGTAATTCGAACTCCAAACACGAGCGATGTGTGTGGTCCGCTTCTCAATCAAAAAGAAATCTTGAGTCATGAATTTGGAACTGGACCATTGGGAGCTTCAGGCGTGGTAATATCAAAGAGACTGAAGGTGAGACTATAAGATAAAGTCACATTGTTATTTGTGTAGTGTACAGAAGATATACAATGGTGGTTTATGTGAGTTCATGAGAGCTTGCTAGGTCAGGAAGCAGGACTGTGGTGAAATTTGGGATGCCACTTTGATCCTCAGCCAGTTGTTTAATACATAATCACAAGGAAACAGGCGACGTTGTCTGTAAATCCTCAGGATTTATTGATACTATAAGGTATTTGAACAATTTATGAGTTTGTAATGAGTTGGGAGGCCAGTATCTTGACATACAGCTCCTCATAATATCAGCCATTAATTTGAGTAAGCTTATAATTGCAAAATTATAAATGCTTACCAAATGTGTGTGTTTAAAAATGTTGCTGAGGCATCAGAGATTTATTAAAACTATTGATCTTGTTTATATTTTTGTTATTTATATTATTGATTATGAATTTGCTGTTAGTCAAGCACAGACAAATTTTAAATTATGCTATACATATATCTAGATTTTGAAATACTTGGCCTCATATAATTAATTACAAAACTGATGTTTTATTTATTAAGCATTTTCTGTTAAACATTATTTGTATATCTTTGTTTATCATTGACACTAATTATATTTACACAAGAGAGTAATCACACTAATGTGACTGCAGCAATGAAAAATTCCATAAGAGCAGTGATGAGGGTTCGAACCTATGCGGTGGATGTTAAGACGCACATGCTTCTAGCAACTAGATCACGACATGGTATAAGGATTGCAACCTGGAGTTGTACTGAAGCCATAACAGGATTTTCACACAATTCCCCCCATGCACTCTAGTTCTGTCATCTAGGACTTTGTTCTACCTCTGATGCTCCTCTTTCAATGCAAGGAGAGTAATCACACTAACAAGTGACTGTGTATTGTATATAATGAACACACTGATGTGTGCTCAGTAGAACTCCAGGTTGCATTCCTTATATCAAGTAATGGTTTAGTTGCTAGAAGCGTGTGCATGGGAACATACACTGCATAGGTTGGAACCCTCATCACTGCTCTTACGGATTTTTTCATTGATGCTGTCATGTTAGTGTGATTACTCTCTATGTATTGAAAGAAAAGTGTCAGAGGTAGAACAAAGTTCTAGGTGACAGAGCCAGAATGCATGGGGGGATTTTGTGAAAATTCTGTTCCAGCTTTAGTAGAAGCCTCAGGATATCCTTGTGTGTTCAGTAGAAAACATATTATTTAATACTAGTAGTGTACAGAACATACTGTAAATAATTGTAATATACCAATAATAATACTGTAATAATAATGCACATAGAAATCACACAAAAATGAGATATATCGGTGAGAAATTAGAGCACTGAGGTGACTTGAACCAGTGATCAGAGTACTTCTAGTCATGCACTTTATCCCTGTACCACAACATGGTATAAGTTAAACAACCTGGGATTCCACTGAATTCACAGGAAGTCTGGAGACTTCAACTAAAGCCAGTCCAAGCTTTACATATAACCCCCATGCACTCTGATGTAGATAAAGTACCTGTAGTTCATGTTGATGACCTACTAATTACATACACCATTTTAGCAATATATTCCCTGTCTATGTTATGCTTTTGTCTTCTTACTTTTCCCACTATATATTTCTGTTTTTAATTTATGCTTGATATATGATTTAAAACAGGGACTCCACTCAATTTCTTATGCTGAATGATATGATGTGCCATTTTGTAGTACAGTACAGTACTGTTCTTGATTTTACTGGTATTCTGTACAAGCATTAAACAGTCAAAACTACTATACTGTACACTGTACTTGGCTTTAAAATCAGTGCTGTGAGGTATCAGTGATAATGTAGGTACAGTATTTAGACAAAATTTGACTTCAAGTTCGGTGACTGGGGAAGAGGGTTTATGCCATCAAAAGAAAATTCTGTTTATTGCACTGAATATCAGATAAAGATTTAATATGGAATTAAAAATTTGTCTAGTGCTACTGAAACTTATGGCCTACTGAAATAATTTACAGTGCAATCTACCATTATGGTTCCCTGGGTATATTTACCCCTAGAACATAATTTATCTGAATTTATCTTAAGGCCACTATTTCCCTAGTGGTCTTGATGTGGACAGGCAGCTGGCACTTTGTCAAAGGTTCCACCATTGTTCCTGAGGATTATTTCTATCTGAATTTTGAACTGAAGTACAGCACTGAAATATACTGTATTGGCATCTACGGCTTCAGCCGGTAGGCAGTTCCACGGGTTCATAACACTATTGGTGAAAAAGCATTTCTTGTTTTCTCTCCTACAATGTGGCCTGTTGAGCTTGAAGCTGTTGCCCCTTATTTGTACTAAATTTAACCGTTTAAAGAAGTAGTCTGGATCAATGTTCTTTAACTTGTTGCGTATTTTAAAGGTCTCGGTGAAATCAGTACAGTACTGTATATGATTGAGATACAGGCTGCTCAGGGTTCAAGTCAGGTGTCAACATTAGTTATAGTACAACATCCATAGGCCCTACCTTAACCCATTGCTGGCTGTTCTGTATCTGAAGCATATACATCCTGAATTCCTGGAGTAAAAATATGACCAAGTGAGAAATATAGTATAAATATCCCATTAGACTGCCTACTAGGCCTGTAGTAGCATCATTTGCTTCATGGATTGTTGTTTATATTTATTATATTAATGTTGACTACATATGTTTAATAGTCATTCTTACTACATTATTGATGACTTTTATATTTAGCTAATTTTTACATTGTGCTTCACAGGACAATGGGTTTACTTACAATAGGCATTTTGCTTGTGAGTGCAGTGATTGTACGGACTGAGGAGAGAACAAATTCTACTACATCACCAGCTGATTCCACTTTGGTCTTTAGAACTTCACTAAGTTCCACAATAACAAGTGCCACAACAACAAGTTCCACAATAACAAGTGCCACAACAACAAGTGCCACAACAAGTGCCACAACAAGTGCCACAACAACAAGTGCCATCACCAGTGTCCCTGCAATAAGTGTCACTTCAACAGATAGTCTTAAGAAAGTATGGAATGGTGTTGCCTCGTCTTCCCCTCAAATCAGAAGTGGACCACAAAGTGTTGTTAGTGCAACTGATGTCAATCAGAGATTTCCAGTAGATGCATTTTCATTTTCACCAGATGGAAGTTTCACTGGCGGTTTTAATGAAAGTAAAAATGTAAGTACATGTACAGCCATATTGTATTACAAAATTGTTAGATTCACATTTTTATTTTAAAGTTACTGTATACATGTATATAAGCAAGATTTGTTTGGTCAGCATTTTATCATCTTGTGAAATAATGAAATTAGCAAAATTATGAAAAAATAACAAGCTTTATTTTATCGTTTAACAAAATATGTACTGTATTTCATATATTTTTTTAGTTTCCAGTAGTATATTTTCTTTTCAAAATATACATGAAATTAAATATTGTGTACTGTACTGTTATGCCTTGAACTGTGGTCATTACCTACAAATGATTTAAATAGTTCTCTTAATGCTGCATAGTCTTTGGTGTGGCACTGTAGTTGATGTGTATCACTTGGTTCATTAAGTTAAGCACTATTGGGTCTTGCCAGAAACTAGATGGGAGACCAAATGGTCAAAAACCTTGTCCTTGGTTAGTGTGATCCTGTTTGGGCCAAATAAATATATACAGTAGTATGACCTGGACAGGGTCATTAAAATGACAAAGCCAAAGGTTGGTTGGCCTTAAAGTAATATTTACAAATGCAGAGATTAAGCACTGAGTAACACTGTAAAGAAGGTGTTTGATCAAGATGGGGTTACCACCATATGCAAGCCTCATGAATTTGTTATCCCTTGCAGTGCCAAGCAATAATATTTTATATCATATGTACTGTATTCAAGTCTATTATTTATTAATTTTAACATTAAATTTTGTATGTAAGCTAAGATAAATTGTTCAGTAATATTGAAGTTGGCTCTCTGCATCTGCAGGTTGATCAGTGTCACCGGACTGTCAAGTGTGAAGCTCTTGAGGAGACTACATGCTTGGGAGTACAATTGCCATATGCGCACACTTCCTTGGCTCTCACCGGGTTACCAAATCAGCGCATTGCCAGGGTGAGATGAATAATTTAATTGTCTTTATTGTTTATGACCTGTTCTTCTTCCATTTTGTATGAGCATTTTGATTTTCTGCATTTCTGCAACATTTCTTTATTGTTCAGTAAATTTTAAGCTAGGTCTACAATCAATTGTTATATTAAGGAAATATATTTCCATGAGTTTTTATTAAGAAGTACAGTACAGTACAGTACATATATATGTCCAAGTATATAATGTACTTGGACATATATAATTACTGTCAGTGTATTTTTTTTTTAAATTATGGCTTCAATAGGTCAGTGGTCTCCCAGCTGTGATGGGAGGCCACAATATAATTTGGAGACATGATGACCAAGTCACACACTAGAAGATGAGGAGACGATGACGTTTTGGTTCGTCCTGGACTATTATCAAGCCGTAATTGACTTAATAATGGTCCAGGACGGACCGAAATGTCGTCGTTTCCTCATCTTCTGGTGTGTGGCTTGGTCATCATATCTTCAGCCACATTATTGTGACTCATCGTCTGCATAATTTGGAGACACTTCCTTTAGCTTCTAGCCTCCCGTCATCTTAGGATGATGTAAGCAGTTGTCTAGGCCAACAAAAAGATTGATGATGTCAATGATTATTTTGATATGCTTCTTACGTTTGCATTCAGATATTTTATTTTTGTATCTATTTAACATTCATTCTTAAGTTGTATTTCCTAACAATTAAATTGATATTTCTGGAAAAGTTGGAGTGACCAGTGATAAGTGAGTCCCTGAAAAAAGGTTGTTTACTGAACAAAAGGATATCATTCATGTGTAAATTATTTCTTCAAGTGTAGGTGTGGACATCAGGCCAGGTAGGCGATAGCAACGGCAATCCTGGTGTGGAGAGCGAGGATGCATGCCCAAGATACATTATGAACATTTCCTCCCATTCACAATTAAGCTTACCAATGTCAGCATTTTGTAGGTCAAGTAACTCACTTCCATGTAAGCTTGGACATTGGCTGTTAAAAGCTTAACTTTTGACTGGGTATCAAAACGGCCAAATTTGCTGATGATGACATTTGTTTTGACCTTCAGATCTCTAATAGCATCAGATAAATTTACAAGTGGGTCCCTTGTGGATATAATATGCCCCTGATATATTTTTAATACTTTACCAAAATCACTCTGCTTGGTAATTTTAGTTTGGAATAACCTTAAAATGAGTCCTGTGAGTTAAAAGCAGTTTCAGCATATTCAGTAGGATTGAACATTAGGTTGCATTCTGCACTATATCTTTCACATATTTTTATCAAGTTTTCCATAGCCTCTTTGGTAGGTGCCAGTAGAACTAGATCAGCAGCATAACAAAAAAAATTGGCCTTAGTACAGTATTTTTTTTTTTTTTTTTTTTTTTTTTTTTTTTTTTTTTTTTTTTTTTTTTTTTTTTTTTTTTTGAGATATATACAAGAGTTGTTACATTCTTGTACAGCCACTAGTATGCGTAGCGTTTCGGGCAAGTCCTTAATCCTATGGTCCCTGGAATACGATCCCCTGCCGCGAAGAATCGTTTTTTCATCCAAGTACACATTTTACTGTTGCGTTAAACAGAGGCTACAGTTAAGGATTTGCGCCCAGTAAATCCTCCCCGGCCAGGATACGAACCCATGACATAGCGCTCGCGGAACGCCAGGCGAGTGTCTTACCACTACACCACGGAGATTGCAATATGTGTATTGTATATGTATGGTATTGTATATGTGATAGCCAGCTTGACTGGCTCTTAACTCTTTCAGCAATGGATCAATGTAGGTAGCAAACAATATAGGACTAAAGACAGTACCTAGTTTGACCCCATTTTTTTTGGTGATAATTTTTCAGAGGTTATTACTCTATTACACATCTTTTACATACCTGATAAACATTATAAAAAAGGTTATTACACAGCTAATTTACATGCCTAATAAAAAATATATAAATATCTAGCAATGACACGATGTACTTCTCTGCTAAGTGCTTCTCACAAAAATTGAAGATGACAATTTCATGACAGAATGTTGAGCAATGCCTAGCCCAAAATAATAGTAAATATGTAACAAGAAACAAATGCCACATATTTGAATACTTTGCAATTTTTTAAATGGTTTAAGGACAATATGTATATATATAAATGTGACTTGTGCACTGTACTCTCAAATTTTAGTTATACATAGTACATATAGCTCATATTGAAATTTGTGGCTACTCACTTGCAGGAAAATCAGCGAAGAGAGTTTAAGGTACAGTATTTAGCCATGGTCTTAATATCATCATAGTCTACCTTTATTGTGTAGTGATTTCTAATTAAAAATAAGTCTAGAATCCACACCAAAATATAGAAATAGTATGTACATGTTTGGTGTATATTTTTCTATTTAAGATTTTAATATCATAAATAATATATTTATATTCTTAAATCTTGTATGTTTATCTTTGTAGGAACACTTGGAGTTGTGGTCGTCACTTCGTAATGTCCCTCGATGCTGGGCAGTAGTACAGCCTTTACTCTGTGCCATATTTTTCCCACGCTGTGACAATAATTCATTGGAGTTACCTTCACAGGTGAATTGAGTGATATATTTCGATATACAATCTATTGGATATATTTTTCCCTTTTATAGTACCAGTATATTTACACTGTATCCTGATTTACTTGTGATGGATTAAGTATGTAAATCTCACAAAAATACATGTGCTCTCAGCTTATGATTAGTTTGATCTCCAGAGCAGTTAGAGCACTTAAACATTTGTTCACTCTGCATGCTCAGTTGAACTCTCAGTTTTGCTTATTTAATGCACTAACCTCACTCACATAAAACATTTGCTATTGGATTCAGTCTTATGTTTAAAATACTGTACTGTCATCTGAAACACTTGTAGACTGGAAGGATTCAATTGCTGACTATTTTAAAGTCTTACTTGGACAACCTCTCCCACTCAGTATTGTCAGTCATATTTTAAATGATCTTATTACATAATTTTTATCAACTAAATTTTATTATTGCTCTGCAAACGACACATCATCTCACTTTATCTTGTAGTTTGTTTTAGTCCTTGAGTATTGAAAACAAGGTGGAACTTTAAACTGTCCTGTTATTTCACTCCATAACTATGAAAAATCATTCAGAATTCACATTATTCCATTCAGTGGTAACCTTTTCGAGTTGTTTATGAGATAGTTACTGTATCTTGCATTTATCTTGTTACAGGGCAGACTTTTGAATAGTTTAAATGTTTTATATAAATTTTTCTTGCACATAACTGCTACCAACTATAATAAGTTTGGCATTTTACTTATTTAACACAGTAATGACTTTAGGAGCATGTCAGAAGTTATTTTAATAGAGAGAGCATGCAAGCAGATGATGTACATGCCAAGTGAATGCAGAGAATATGTAGTATAGTTACAGTATTTTCACATTCAAAATAAATCATAAATAGATTTGCATGCTTAATTATTTCTTAAGCATTACTGGAATGTAACAGTATTATTTACACACACACTCACCTGGAACATATAGAGAACATATACAGTAAGCTAAAAAAGGTAATGCTTTCTTGAATCATACCTGCTTGGTTCTGTCACTTAGGAGATGTGCGTCATTACTCGAGGCCCGTGCAGGTTAGTGGAGTACGAGAGAGGGTGGCCAGACTTTTTGGTATGTCGTGAAGATTATCCTCATAAATGTAAGGTAAGCTTATATATAAAATTTCAACTTAATTTTCACATTTTCAATAAAACCTGATTTATAGCAAGTAGTACATACAAAATTTGACAGAATTAGGGGGAAAGACTGGCTAAGAATTTGTCTGATATTTCTGATATACCACAAACCTGAGCGGATTGGATAACTGGCAAATGACTTCACGAGCAATCAAGTTCTTTTTTCATTATTGTTAAGAATTTAAATCTCAAAATAAATGCCAAGATGTAAGATTGTAAAGAAAATTACAAAGCACCACATAAATTGTATTTTGAAGTGTATACAACAATTCCAGAATACTGTGAGAGAACTGAAATTCAACACAACAGGGCAATGTGCTCCTCCATTAGTGGCCACTGAGGAGGAATCTTCGTGGTACGAAGGCGTGAAGGGGTGTGGTGTCCAGTGTGCCAATCCAATTTTTACTGATGAGGAGCATGAAGACCTTCACCATTTTGTGGCTGCACTAGGTGGTGTCTGCTTAGCCTTTGCTGCTCTCACGGTGGTGCGTTGTATGGAAGAGTTATTGTTGCCCTAAGAAATAATTAGAATTCAGTAGTTTTGTTCTAGTTGTAATAATACACAGCTAGTTTATTATCATAGTTAGAAATACAGTACAGTAGTTTTAATAAATGTTAAGAAAATCTGAACCAAAGACTCAAGATAAAATAAATTAAACTCTAATCACATTGAATCACTGTTTATTCTTATTTATGTACAGTATTTATCTATACAGTACTTGTGCTTTTTGTGTCTTGGAGGTGTGAGTGGCAAATTAAGCTGTAAGGATGATAGCCTAAAAGTATTTTGAATAAGAAAGTAGTATGCTATAAGAAGTCAGCGTACTAACAAATGTTTGTTAAAGTTACTGCTGGAAGTTCAGTGCTTCTCTATGTAAATAAAGTGTTTTATCTTTTTTGGAGGAAATCTTGGTAAGAGACTGTATGATAGTAGTCTACAGAATGTTTTTTCACATCACTTTTTAAATTGTTTCTCAGCTGACGTACCTGATAGACTGGCGTGCAGCAAACAAGTATCCAGTACTCATCATCTTCTACATCAATGGTTGTTTCCTCATTGCCAGCATTGGTTTCATTGTTCAGTTTCATCCCGGAGTCCGCCATGATCTCACCTGTCGATCAGATGGTACTCTACGTCAGGGGGAACCTAGGTAAGACAGGCATTTATTTATTGATGGCAACTGGCTATGCTAAATTATTTAGTCAATTTTAGCATTCATACCAAATTGATAACTCACTGATAAAATCAGACTGGATATGATACAGTATATCTAGAATAAACTTGACTCTATTTTTTTTAACGTAAACAATATCACTTAAGTTTTTAAAGAATAGTTTTTGATGGAACTAAAATTAGTACAGTATACATATTGTATTAAACATCAGCAATGAGTAAAATTACCTACAGTGTTTTTATCCTCTAATTGTATCAGATGCTGATTGTCATTAAATTGAGAGCTTATATTAATAAAATTTATACAATACACTATCCATATTTAATTTGAGGTATGTACTTGGATTCAAAAAGAGCTGGTTTAGAATATTGTAATTATCATAATTTTCTTGTTTTTCCCTAAGCTCCGGTGGAAACCTCTCGTGTGTAGTGGTGTTTGTTTGCATCTATTACTTCATGGTTGCTGGTGGCTTATGGCTTATCATCCTGGCATACTCTCTCCACACCAGTTTCAAATCATATGGTGAGAACATTGACTTTAGAATATATTACAATAAAATGGAAACAATGATTGCCAAATAAAGTACTCTACATCATTTTTAGAAAATATACCAGTACAAAATTTATCAAAAGAATTTTATATTTAATTCGGTTAAGTATTAAATTTAAAGTTATAGGTGGTCTTTTATAAGATTTTTCAAATAAGTTCTTATGTTGTAGTGTTGAACATTTAACATTAGTGCAACTGTTGTTTTGTGATAAAAGATATTACATTTACCTGGTAGTACAGTAACTCAATATTTATTACCTATGTATGACAATTAAAAGATACTTCATTAAAATATGTGCTTCAAAATATTGTCAACCACATTTTACAGCAGCAGGGCTGTGTGGCGATGAGCTGGAACGACGAGCAGCATATTTTCACCTGGTGTCATGGTCCTTACCTCTTGTCCTGACCATCACCATTATGGCCTTGGCAGAAGTTGAAGCCGACTCTGTTGCGGGGATATGCTTTCTGTCTTCAGCACTTCACATACGAATAATATTCCTACTGCTGCCAATGGTAGCTATTGTGTTTGCTGCTGGATTTTTCTTTGTGCAAGGTAAATAGAATACTGTTGTAATTTGTTTGATTTTTTTCATATACTGTAATATAATGAGAGCACAAGCATCACAAATGTTTCAAAATACACTATTGTATTACATAAAGGGGATTAATTTTCACATAAACTGCAGCATAATTTTTTCCGTGACATTTCATTTACTTGCCAAATTATTGTGATATCATTTACACACATACAGTGCAATTTAATTTAAAAATCGGTGCAGATTCCCTAATGCCATGAATTTAATAAATAAATCATATAAAATCTTCAATTTTAGTAGAATATGAACCAAATATGCATCTTTAATTCAGTATTAAAAATAAAATATATACAGTAATACATTGTACATAAGTTTTGGAAAAAATGAATGTGTATTTTGTATATTTTTTATAATGGAAAATAATATATTCTATTTTTGAATTTTGTGTCATTATTTATTACAAGTTTAAACATTTTAATATAGAAAAGTATCCAAGGAACTTGTATTGGAGCAAGTTGGAGAGTGGATAGTACATGGTGCCTGGTGTAAGGCGGCAGGGCAGTGTTGGTGAGCGTGCAGAGATCCTTTACTGCTAGAATCCATTCAGTAAAACATCTAAACTATTGGGACCGACTAAAGAGCCTAAATCTGTATTCTCTTGAGCGCAGGCGGGAGAGATACATAATAATTTACACATGGAAAATAGTAGAGGGGCTGATCCCAAACCTGCACACAGAAATAACATCACATGAGACCAGAAAGCATGAAAGGATGTGCAGAATACCCCCATTGAAAAGCAGAGGTGCAACAGGTACTCTTGAGAGAGAACTTTATCAACATCAGAGGCCCAAGACTGTTCAACACGCTTCCACTACATATAAGGGGCATAACTGGCCGACCCCTCACAGTGTTCAAGAGAGAACTTGACAAACACCTCCAAAGGATACCTGATCAACCAGGCTGTGACTCATACGTCAGGCTGCGAGCAGCCGCGTCCAATAGCCTGGTTGACCAGTCTAGCAACGAGGAGGCATGGTTGACGATCGGGTCGCGGGGTTGCTAAGCCCCGAAATCACCTCAAGGTAACCTCAAGGTAACCAAGATGGTCTGCAGGCCAAGTGGCTTTTTGTTCATTTCTGGGAAGGTTTCTTCAGTAGCTCTCTGAGCTTAAGCTTTGGTATAACCTTTGGTATAAGCTTTGGTATAACTGAGGTATTTGGTATAACTGCTTTAAGCTTTGGTATAACTGAGCTTAAGCTTTGGTATAACTTAGGTAATCACACCAGGCCTTTGAGCCCCAACCTGACCTACATGGAGCCAGGCATAGAATCTGGTTCTCTCCATGAGACAAGAAGAGCCTAGGGATGAGAAAACGACCTAAAACCAAGAAAACCACTAAAAATGGTTATACTCAACTAAACAAGGCACTGCTCTTAAGTAAATTAGTAGCCTTAAGGTTAAAATAACAAAAAAGGCAAAAAGGCAAATAACAAATGAACATTTACATGGGCAAACTATTACTGTAATGTGCCTTACTACCACTAGTTGGCATCCAGGTCACCTCACCTGTGAGCCATCAGAACAGAGCACCGAAATCCCCACGGAAGAGAATGGAACACGGTGGAAACATTCTGCGATAAGACTGGCAAAAGCACAAAATCCTCCCGCACCAAGGCGCACAGCCTGGGAACCCCTGAAAATGCTTTGTAGAGTGCAAGATTCTGGCCTACTGCAATTTTGTAAGGCTTTGCTATAGCACTGTTTAAGCTTAGGGAGCTACTGAGAAGCCCACCATAAAAGGCCATTTCATTACACTAAACAATTGATTTATAATTTTATGACACTGTTTTTTATCTCATTTTACAGCTTTCATTTCTCTTTTGTTGCAGGCATGATAAAGTTAGTTTATCTTAAGATGGAGTGTTACAATATAATTAGTGACAGTGCCAACAGCAAGATAGTGGAGACAATCATCAGGCTGGCCCTCATCACCATCACACTAGCAACTTTCACAGGTACTACCATCTACTGTCACATCTACCAGTACAGAAACCAACACCTCTGGGATAAGGCACTTCGGGACTATATTATGTAAGTTTGCTTTCTCTTGTTTGTGACACAGTCTTAACACATTTTTATATTTACATTAAAAAACATCATAACAGAAAACATATTTATAAATGTTCTGTCTATTACTACTTAACTTTTACACAGTGATAATATTCTCATGATCCACCCTGTTTAAATACAGCACTCTTATATTTTCCAGCACAGGTACTGTACTATTTTAATTCATACTTATGATCTGGCACAGTATTTAGTCTCCATATGTTGTATGTTATATTTTAGAGGCTATATCCATATGATCACATCAGTGGTTATTTGCATGTAACATGTATCATTGCACATTTAAAAAAAAAAGGAAAATGTCCAGTCTGTGGAGATCTCTTGCGATGGGGAGAAGGGTTAGTACCAAGTCAGTTAATATCTTTACAGTAATTTTGTTAATTGAAATGAAGTTATGCTATATTAAAGATTAAGCGTGATTAATCAGATTTTCTTCAGTGGTTAATATTCTATATTCGTTGTATCTAATGAATAGCTTACATTCACAAAACATAGCTTTGAGGGTTTACATTTTAGATGGAGGGTTGAGAATTAAGATTTTCATTATATAATAGACTACTGTATTGAGGTTTCTTGTTTTAGAGATTAAATGGTATTGAATAAAATGCATTTTATTACTCTATGAATGTTACTTTCTGCATATTGTTTGACAGGTGAATATTTTCATGATAACCACATTTGGATAGTTAAAATATTATTAAAATACTAGTACAATACTGTGTTTTTAATTAGTAGCAATTATATAGTTTCATAATACTGATAAGATACTATATTATCAAAATCTCTCAGGTTTATTTAAAAAAATTTAATATTATTTAAATATGAAGGTGTGTTTCTAACATGACGGATGCAACCCAGTTCAGCAGTGGATCATCAGTTTGTACAATAGCAAAACGTCCCAGTATCAATGTATATAAACTACACTTATTGGCTCTCTTTGGTGCTGGCATCATAATGTCTTCATGGTGCTGGACTCCAAACACACTACAAGCTTGGAAACGCTTTCTACGCAGGTAGGTACATCTGTAGTATACACTGTTTATATTAATTAAATAGTGTAATAGTTTTGATTTATACAAGCACTGCAAAATTCTAGTACAGTACATTTGTTTTTAAAGGAATTTTGATTCAATTATTAAATGAATTTTGTATTAATGAAACCTTATTCTGCTCATATATTATATACAGCAAATTTAAATTTTGTGTGTGTTTTCCAGGGTTGCAGGAGTTCCTTCAGAAGAACCTCTGCGTCTTGCACGCCACAGGGTTATAGCTCAAGCTTTCGCTAAACGTCATGACCTTAATACTGCTGGTAGACTTTCTATCAGTCTCCACTCTATGCATGATGATCCACTTGGTAAGAATAGATGTTTTTGTAAACACTTTTTTGTAAACACTATCTTCATATAGCTTACATTTTTAGAGAATTGAGTCATAAATCCTTTCATAGTTTATCTAGCATACTGCAGATGTGTGCAGGGTTGCCAGATTGGGCTACAAGTAGCGAATTGGGCTACTTTTAAGAGCCCCACGCTCTCAAATTTTTAATTTCGCGACTTGCGACTTTTTGGGCTAGTTTAAACGCAAGTTGGGCTACTTTGGCCAATTAATATTAAGAAACTCAATGATGGTTATTTATGCTTTAATAATATAATCTGTACAAATCACAGCCAAGTCCAACAGCCTGATTGACTAGACCACTTACTGCAGGAGAGCCCTGGTCAGAGACCGGCCCCTGGGAACGTTGATCCTAGGAACCTTTGAAAGAAAAAGTAACCACAAGGCAAGGTAATCCTCCCCAGGGGCAATAGATTTCCCAACCTTAATTGTTAATAATACTTCATCCCAAAAGCTACACCTGGTTCCACAGATCTTCATTAAGGGGAGAAAGTTATCTAGAAATTTACAGATTGATAAATGATGGGAAAGATCCCTTACAGTTAATACCTTTGTCAGGAAGACGATGGTTGGCAAGGAGCGGTAGTGTAAAGCGGCCATTTGATCAGTGGGGTTCTCTAACAACTCATTACCAAATAGCTTTTTCCTCTTGTGATAAATATGTTGCAAGGCAACTATTTTCAATGTACGCTGATCCCTCCAATAAGCTACAGTATATTTCACATGTCTCAAACCAATCCTAAATGATTTTGAAAGGATGAATTTACTTTATCAAAAGATGAAGCAGATCAGTATAGCCTTCACACTGTCTTAGAAAATTTCACTCTTGAAATACTCAGAAGAATCTTTCGTCCTCATCATGCAAAGCTTCATGTTAATTTGGACTACAATTCTATGTATCTTCCCTGGAGAAAGTGGACTTTGTTTACGAATTTTCAACACTTCTGGCCACCAACAGACAAAAGAATTTTACAACCCAGGAAAAGTTTCAAAATGTTCAAGAAAGATGCGATAATTTTTTCATGAAAGCTTGCAAATAGCTTCTTTCTCGTATTCTAAGTAATGTTGAAACTATAAATAAAGGTGAAAAATCTGTTACCTATCATATGCCTTAGCTTACATGGCCACCATTTTTGGAACTTCCGTTAGTATTAGCTGACCAATCTAAGCTTAGTGAAATTGAAAGTCAGTGGCGCCTACTGTTAACCATTGACTAGTCCAACATTTGTGAGGGACAAATTCCGACATCTGAATCGTCATTTTAGACCAAGACAATAACTGTCAAGAACACTGCTGGCGATCCCATACTGATTGACCTCGCTGAGTTTGTGTTGAAAATATACAGTTTGCCAATCAGTAATGCCCTGGTTGAACGGATATTTTCGAGAGTAACGTCTGTGAAAACTAAACTGAGAAATCTTGAATGGGAATGGGACTTGAGCTTTTGACATCAGTCTTGAGAATCAAAACATATCTTGAAGAAAATGTAACTTGTTGCTCATCATTTGAACCACTCATATCAATGCTTAAATATGAGTCTGCAATATACAAGAACGAGCTTGTGGATGCAGATCAAGATCTTGGTAATCTTCAACTGTAAAGACGTGGAAGGACTTCATACCCATTAAGCTTCAAACAGTAAATATTGGTAAGTTATCCTATTATCATATTGGTTAAATATATATATATGCAGAGATAATGTTAATAAAACAATTAAAATCGTTTAATGTACTCTATATATCATAATAGATTACTTTGAAACCCGTATCAGTCACTAAACAAAAAATTGGGCTACTCTTATTACAAATTCGCTACTTTTAGACCGTCAGCTCGCTACTTTTAGCAATTTGAATCTGGCAACCCCGAGTCAGAATTCGGCTCAAAAATCACACTCAGGAGTCAAATTTCCGACATTTCAGATATTTTGAAAACTGCAGGGGGGTTTGGGCAAAATATGACCCATCGCTGTTTTCAGTAATTGGCATACTGTATTTTCGGTATAAAAAGTCGTAATTTGAAAATGAAAATAGGTGCAGAGAGTCAGAATTCGGCTCAAAAACCACACTCAGGAGTCAAATTTCCGACATTTCAGATATTTTGAAAACTGCAGGGGGTTTTGAGCAAAATATGACCCATCGCCATTTCAGTAATTGGCATATTTTCGGTGTAAAAAGTCGTAATTTGAAAATGAAAATAGGTGGAGAGAGTCAGAATTCGGCTCATAAATCACACTCAGGAGTCAAATTTCGGACATTTCAGACATTTTGAAAACTGCAGGGGGGTTTGGGCAAAATATGAACCATCGCCGTTTTCAGTAATTGGCATATTTTTGGTATAAAAAGTCGTAATTTGAAAATGAAAATAGGTGCAGAGAGTCAGAATTCGGCTCAAAAATCACACTCAGGAGTCAAATTTCCGACATTTCAGATATTTTGAAAACTGCAGGGGGGTTTGGGCAGAATATGACCCTTCGCCGTTTTCAGTAATTGGCATATTTTCGGTGTAAAAAGTTATAATTTGAAAATGAAAATAGGTGCAGAGAGTCAGAATTCGGCTCATAAATCACACTCAGGAGTCAAATTTCCGACATTTCAGATATTTTGAAAACTGCAGGGGGGTTTGGGCAAAATATGACCCTTCGCCGTTTTCAGTAATTGGCATATTTTCGGTGTAAAAAGTCGTAATTTGAAAATGAAAATAGGTGCAGAGTTAGAATTCGGCTCAAAAATCACGCTCAGGAGTCAAATTTCGGACATTTACGATATTTTGAAAACTGCAGGGTGGTTTGGGCAAAATATGACCCATCGCTGTTTTCAGTAATTGGCATATTTTCGGTATAAAAAGTCGTAATTTGAAAATGAAAATAGGTGCAGAGAGTCAGAATTCGGGTCAAAAATCACGCTCAGGAGTCAAATTTCGGATATTTACGATATTTTGAAAACTGCAGGGGGGTTTGGCAAAATATGACCCATCGCTGTTTTCAGTAATTGGCATATTTTCGGTATAAAAAGTCGTAATTTGAAATTGAAAATAGGTGCAGAGAGTCAGAATTCGGCTCAAAAATCACGCTCAGGAGTCAAATATCGGACATTTCAGACATTTTGAAAACTGCAGGGGGGTTTGGGCAAAATATGGCCCATTGCCGTTTTCAGTAATTGGCATATTTTCTGTATAAAAAGTCGTAATTTGAAAATGAAAATAGGTGCAGAGAGTCAGAATTCGGCTCAAAAATCACACTCAGGAGTCAAATTTCCGACATTTCAGATATTTTGAAAACTGCAGGGGGGTTTGGGCAAAATATGACCCTTTGCCGTTTTTAGTAATTGGCATATTTTCGGTATAAAAAGTCGTAATTTGAAAATGAAAATAGGTGCAGAGAGTCAGAATTTGGCTCAAAAATCACGCTCAGGATTCAAATTTCGGACATTTACGATATTTTGAAAACTGCAGGGGGGTTTGGGCAAAATATGACCCAACGCTGTTTTTAGTAATTGGCATATTTTCGATATAAAAAGTCGTAATTTGAAAATGAAAATAGGTGCAGAGAGTCAGAATTCGGCTAAAAAATCACACTCAGGAGTCAAATTTCGGACATTTCAGACGTTTTGAAAACTGCAGGGGGGTTTGGGCAAAATATGACCCATTGCCGTTTTCAGTAATTGGCATATTTTCGGTATAAAAAGTCGTAATTTGAAAATGAAAATAGGTGCAGAGAGTCAGAATTCGGCTCAAAAATCACACTCAGGAGTCAAATTTCGGACATTTACGATATTTTGAAAACTGTAGGGGGGTTTGGGCAAAATATGACCCACCGCTGTTTTCAGTAATTGGCATATTTTCGGTATAAAAAGTTGTAATTTGAAAATGAAAATAGGTGCAGAGAGTCAGAATTCGGCTCAAAAATCATGCTCAGGAGTCAAATTTCGGACATTTCAGATATTTTGAAAACTGCATGGGGGTTTGGGCAAAATATGACCCCTTGCCGTTTTCAGTAATTGGCATATTTTTGGTATAAAAATTCGTAATTTGAAAATGAAAATAGGTGCAGAGAGTCAGAATTCAGCTCATAAATCACACTCAGGAGTCAAATTTCCGACATTTCAAGTGTTTTGAAAACTGCAGGGGGGTTTGGGCAAAATATGACCCATCGCCATTTTCAGTAATTGGTATATTTTTGGTATAAAAATTCGTAATTTGAAAATGAAAATAGGTGCAGAGAGTCAGAATTCGGCTCAAAAATTACACTCAGGAGTCAAATTTCTGACATTTCAGATATTTTGAAAACTGCAGGGGGGGGGGGGGGTTTGGGCAAAATATGACCCATCGCCGTTTTCAGTAATTGGCATATTTTCGGTATAAAAAGTTGTAATTTGAAAATGAAAATAGGTGCAGAGAGTCAGAATTCGGCTCAAAAATCATGCTCAGGAGTCAAATTTCTGACATTTCAGATATTTTGAAAACTGCAGGGGGGTTTGGGCAAAATATGACCTTTCGCCGTTTTCAGTAATTGGCATATTTTAGGTATAAAAAGTCGTAATTTGAAAATGAAAATAGGTGCAGAGAGTCAGATCATGTGTGATAGTTTTGTGCTTTGCCCAGGGATAGACTGCAGTGGTGATGAATCATTGTAGTCAAATTTCCTTTCAGGGTTAAACTTTGACATGAATAGTGCAACTTCTGGGGATCTGTCCTCTGCATGGGCCACTGCCATCCCTCACCTCATGACAAGACGTGGAGCTCTCGTAGGCACTGCTGCTCTGGGACTTCGAAGAAATTCTGTCGATTCAGAGTATAGCATTAGTAGAAGGTGAGTGATTTAATAACTATTCTCTTTGTAATGTGATTTGGAATTTATTATCCACTGCTTAATTTTTTATTTTGTAATGGATAAAAAATTTAATAATTTAATTACTACATCTAAAATTTATTTTAAAGAAATTCTTCACAACTTCAGTTGTGCACACAATGCATTATACATTCTAATAAGTATGGTACACCAGTTTCTGAATTTCCTACAATACATCTGGCATCATCTTGATTGTGTGAAGTGTCTCACAGTAGTTACATGCTTTAATTATGCAAAGATTACATGGCAGCAGTAATGGTTGTGTGTTAGATGGAAGAAAAACGACTTTGACATCATCATTTGTGTCCTAGGAAGCTAGAAGTTGTGACTAATCCCAACAATATCTGAGGCAAAAGACTTGATGTAAACCAGTCCAGGAACAATTTAGATGTTATCACTGCCTTTTTGTTTCACCTCAAGAGACTTATGCTTGCCTTTCAAGGCACAGGGAAGTTCTTGGTCTGGAAAGCAGGCAAAGATATACACTTAAAAGTTTCTTGATGTATTGACAACGTGAGTGTTAGCAAACCTTTTGTAAATGTTAGTACAAAATACTGCTGTCTGATGATGTAGGTACTGGATGCCATTCTCTTCTGGGATAAACCTCTTTTATCCATATTGCAAGATTTTTAATAATTCTTGTAAACACTTTTTACTACCTCAGCAGAGAAGTTATGCTGCTTAGGTTAGCTAAAGTAGCTTTACCTGTATATTTCACATTCCAAGAATAATCAAACCAGGCACTACTAAATGACAGTTTCTTGGATGGTTCACTTGTTTCATATATGTCTTTGCAAGATCTTTGTTCCTTCTCACAAATCACTGTGTGACAGCATTACACACTACAGTACTGAGAAAAGCCTTCTGTTCATATGTTCAACATGAGCTCAGTTTTAGTTGATGATCCCACCTGGTCATCCTCTTGATGGCTTAAAACTTGCAATCTATGAATCACAACATGTGTAATAATGCTAACCTTATCTTTCCTCGTGGTGAGAATCAGAGACTCAAGCATGCGTGTTTTAACTTGGGCTCCAAAGTGAAGTTTATCCAGTGTTTCTAATTTCATACTTGAACTCTGTTCTGCTTTCTTTTACTATTCATTATCTTTTCACCTGCTTTAGGGCTGCTAATAATCTTAGGTAATATATCGTCCAAAAGTTGCAAAAATGTAGTGTAAGTAACCTAAAATGATGCGGTACAACTGGATTGAGAAGGGAGCCAGTTGATGGTTTTCTCGGTCCGTATGAACACATCAGCTCACTGATATAATATAAGCACAGTTAGCATTTTGGGTCAATAAATGAAAAACTTGCTATATAAATATGCATTATATAATGGTCAACTTTATATGCAAGCAGCTGGCCTGTCATTATTGGTGCATAGTTTGGTTCAGCTTTGGTAGTAGTTAGGTAGGATAACAAAAAGTTACTGTACCTATATTGTTTATGTATTTATTCATATATTTATTGGTCTAATTATGCAGCTTAATTAAATATTTATCATTAGGTTAGGCATGTAGATACAATCATTAGTTTATGCTAATATACGCAGGTGTTTGTTTAAGCAATAGATGCCCAAACTGTAGTGCATGATTAATGGCTTTGTAAACATTATTTAAATACCATATTATGAATGTAAACATTGTAACATAGTCGATAAATATTTTAGAAGAATAACAATAATTATAACAATATTATTATTGTTGTTATTTAGGATGTAGAAATGTATTACATCATAAGATGAGGAAGTGGTCTACACTGAGGAGGCCTCTTGACAGTGTTTAACTTTCACCGCCACTACCATCCTATCATCTTGTACACTAGATATGTATACTATTCCTTCCTTTTACTGCTAACTGAAGCACTTGACTAACCATTTTTGCTCATATTAGAGACATATAAAACTATTTTTAAAGAATTACAGTAGTTTTTGGTGTTAAAAATCCCAAGACGGAGGGTAGAAATTCTTGCCGAGGACTGAGCCAAATACTACAAATGCCAATTTGTTTGCCAGATGAATTTGGAACTAGGATGTCTTGATACAATATGTTCTAATGTATTTAATGTACAGTGCAATACCATATGTAGAAATAAGTAATAATTATGAAGTTTAACTTGTTAATTATAAAAGTTAAATTTTTTAATTTGAACATTTTATGTATTTCTTTTTCGATACAGGTTTTCCATAGAATCTGGGTACAACAACCGCAGTTCTCGACGTCACTCTTTGGATTCACAAATGTCTTTTCACGTGTCAGATGCCGAGAGATTAGCAGCATTACATACAGCTGCTAGGTTTGGCCGCCGAAAAAGACGTGATTGGTTTAATCTGAAGCGCGGCCGACGTGTTAATGCTTGGGATAGACGGGGATCCAACACATCTGACGATAGTAATCTTGGTTCTATGGTAAGTAATGTCTGTGGTGAAACTTCAGAAGAAACACTTGATGTTCTTGTTGTAAATTGCAAACATAATTCTTTACTTATATTTAGTATTTTATCGACAGCAGCACTTATGAACAATTTGGTAACAAAGCATAGCTTTCATCCTGCAATCACTTTGTTGTCTGCCAGATTTCACAAAACTTTTCGTTGATTTATTGCCTTTTAACCGACTTATATTTCCATTCAGTTTTTTCTTGTACCTCTTAATTGGTCTTTTATGTTTCCCAGATTCCCGACTCCTTTTTTCCTACTTGTGCATGTTTATTGAAGTATTTTGTCTATTCCTTTCATTATTGTATTTCTGTGCAATGCATTGGTAAATGTTTTGCTTGAATAAGAACCAAACAAGGATGTAGAAACTGTTAGCAATGGCTTTTCACTTCTTTCAAGATTTATTGTTGCTCTTAAATTTGCTGATATTTTATATGATGTTTCTGCATTAAAACACATTACAATGTTTTAATTGTGTTATATATTAGCCTTTAATTTCAGCAAACCAATCAGCTTTGGCCATATGAGGTGTTATATCACCGCATTGTAGGCAGTGATATGACACCTCAGTATTGTTTTAACATCTGTGCTAAAACACCTAGTAATGTATTTCTGAACTGCATTGTTTCTCCAAAAGGTATAGTGAGCACATATAGTCTCCAAGAGGTATAGTGAGCACATATAGTCTCCAAGAGGTATAGTGAGCACATATAGTCTCCAAGAGGTATAGTGAGCACATATAGTGAAGCAGGTCTTGTATGACACCACTGCAGGACCTGAGTTCCTGGGGGAAGTCAATGGAAAAATATAGCCCTCCTGGCTGGGATAACACATTCAGAAGGGTCTGTTATCAAGCCTTAAGTAATTAGGTTTCAGTGTTGTCATATGTATTATTGTCAAAGGGTGAGCACTCAATGTTCTATTCTGTATGCAAATTCTGCTAAGGATGATGTTGGTCTTTTCAGTGGCTTCTCAGAACTCGAGTGAGTATTTACTAGTTTATTGCCAGCTAGTTCTAGTTTCTAGTCTCATTCTAGTTACACTCTTGCATGCTTTCATATTGAGGTTGCCTGTGAAAACCTGAGGTTGTGTTGAGTTAGGTGACTAGGAACTAGCTTTACCTTCCTTTTGGGATGAGTTGACTTATTTTACCAGTGGTGCATTGGGCACCAAGGGGAGTTTATGGAATCCTTGTTAACCTCGTGGAGTATAATGATGGCTATCTATATATTCTTATTTGAATGAGGAGCAGATTCTTCTTGGTAGACCTTGTTTCGAGTGATGTTTCTGCAGCTCCAGGTATGTGAGATATGTAGTATGGAAATGTCTATCCTCTGGACCTATGCTTTAAGGACATGTCATCAAAGTTGAAAGTAATAGTAGTAGTACTACTAGTAAATTACACAAGGTGGCAATTGCACATTACTGATGCATTTGTTGACCTTTTGGGTACATGTTTTACAGGATGGCAATGTGACCTAGTTGGTTGAGAATACATGTCCAGCTGCTTTTCAGAAAACTTCCACAAGCATTGCTTCTTGTTCTTATGCTTTGTCTTCCTTAGTTTTCATCTCATAAGATAATTGGGAATGATCACATAAGATTCTAAATTCACTAGGTTTCTCCAAAGGTTCACCTTCGGGAGTGACTGTATAACTTGGCTAGGAATGAGTTTTCCCAAGGCCAACGTAAAAAATTTAACATTGCTATCCTGTAATAAAAATATTCACATCTTATTTATTTTTCCTCTTCTGTATACATTTGTGGAGCCAGTCTTCATACTTTGTGTTCTTATTTCTTAATGCAGAGAAACATAAGACTTGTTCCTTTTTATGCACAAATCAGTAAAAAATTCATATTTTTCTGCATTCTGGTATTTAACTAAAAACATATACACAGCTGGTGACTGAAATGTCTCAGGAAAATGTATACTTACATATATGTGCTAAATGTTTTGGAGAATTATATTTATTTTGATGGTGCTGATTAATTAGGATACGAATAAGAATGATATCAACCTTGAAAGTTTCAATTTGTGTAGGATGTTTGGTATGTAAAATTGGATTTAACTATACAAATATTTACCAACAGATTCTGCCTGCCATTACAATGAACAGTCAAGATACATTGTTTACAAATATGATGAAACGCCTCAATTTGAGTTCTGATGAACCAACACGATCAGAAAGAGCTGCCCCATCAGCCCCACCAGCAAAGGCCATGAATATTAATGTTACACTTCCTGGCCAAACACTTGAGAGTGAAGATGATGTAGGCGCAGAGAATCCTGGGTACGCTGATAATGATTCCATTGCCCATACTGTTCTGAACAATGTTCTAAAGAGTGCTGATCTAAAAAAACAAGAGGTTACATATGTGAGGACAGCAACAGCACTTGAAAATGATATATCATCATTAAAAAATCAGGTACGTGCCTGCAGTAGACGAGGGAATGCCGATGCTGGCATGCATGCCACCAGCATGAGTGTAGGTGTTCAGGCATCCTTTGCTGAAACCTTTACTAAAGCCATCATGGTGGATAAATCCGTTCAAGTTACCACACCTTTACTAATTAGGGCAAGTCAAGCATTTCGACCTCATTCTCCACTTGACAGTGACAGCAGTCCAACCCTCTCATATAGACCTCAGGATAGCAAAAAGAAGATTAATGAAACAAGCTTCTCCAATCGAAAGAAGCTCCAGAATAATGATCGACCAGGTACACCAGTTACTAAATTACCAAAAAAGCTTAATGTTAGTGAAGATAGGATAAACAATAAAAATGTTGGCTCCAGCCATGGGTCACATAAACGTAATACCAGCAGTAAAACAGGAAACAGTGGAGGACGGAGAAAAAGCAGTAGAGGAGAGAGTACTGAAATCATGACTGTTTTAGACATTGGAGATGAGAGTGATTGAGGGGTACAAATTTCAAATAATATATAAGAATAGTATATTGATAATATTTTTATACTCAAAGAGAATTCTCATATTTTAATGATATTAACAATAATTTTAACACTTGTTTGAAGTTAAATGTATATGATGATAATAATACTTAAGGTAATAATTCCTCTGGCAATATAATTTGGATATCTCAGGTAAAATTAGTTATTATGAACTCCATTTATTGTTTTAGTTTTTGTTATCCAGAATCAAACCTACCTCTCTTCAGATAATTTTGGCATCAAATTGTTATACAATACCAAATATTACATGCATTTAATAATGCAAGTTGTACATGGTGCATTTAAAAGTTCCAGTACAATCTGGTGAGCACTATACTAAATTCTGCATAATAAATCATGTACCATCAATGTTATAATGTACTGGCATCATCACATTTACACTTCATTACCCAGATATTGTATGTAAGTGCCCCATACATGCATGTTCACTCCTAACATGCCAAAGTTAGGAGTGAACACACTGATACATCCATCTCATTAATGTATTGCATCCAGCAAAGGTAGATAAATATATGAGTTAAATTGATAGTATGTTAAAAAGAAATAGTTGCTCTTAATTTATCCGTAAATATGTTGGAACTGTAAATTCTCATATTACGTTGCGTGTCCTGCAGTGTAGGCAAACTTATGTGTACAGTAATAGATGGCCAAAATAGAAAAGCTTTAAATAACTTGAGGCAATGGGACCAAATTATTAACCCTCGAATATGTGGGATTAAACCTGGTGGCAAAAAATTCAGCCAATCCTCCTAAAATGAAAGTATTTACGGTAACAATGTGGTCGAACGTACAGATAAGGATGTGATGGACCAATAGAAAGTAAAACTTTTTATTATTGAATTTGGACAAACCAAAAAAATGTTCTGTGTTGCCAATGAAATCTAACCTAACCACTCTAGGCCTAATACATGATATGAGGTCTAATATTGCACTGTACATATATGTGATATACTAGGCCTAGGAATATTTAAGTTTGGTTTTTTAGCTTTATTTTTTCCGGACTTTAAATTTAATAGTACAAAATTCTACTTTCTATTTGTCCACTACGTCGATATTTGACCGACCAACTACATGCAGTAGTTACTAAAAGTATTATCTTATCAGGAGGATGGTTTAAAAAAAAAATTCCTGAATGGAAACCAAAGCATTTGAAGCAGAACTAGGGCATACGGAGTTGTTCCCTTATTGACAGGGCAAGACACCCGATATCACACATGATCTTGATGTAACTGTGGTTCTTATCAGATGTGTTATCAAAGGAACAAAGTTTGTCTATTCATTGAGATTATCAATGATTAATTGTGATTATCAGTGTTTGAGGTGTGTAACCCTAATTGTGCTTACATGGGGTTGAGCTTCAGTTCTTAGGCCCCGCCTCTCAGTGGATGAATTTTTTTTGTGTGCGTGTGTACGTGTGTGTGTGAGCTCACCTAGTTGTATAGTACTCACCTCGGTGTTTGAGGGGGTGTAACCCTAATTGTGCTTACATAGGGGTTGAGCTTACTTAAGACCAAAATTATACTGAAGGTGTTGGGATTTTGGGATCAATGAGTTGTGTATCATTGCAAGTTTGTGGTCTGTATATTTTGGCTTGAAATGTGAGAAGCATTGTGGAGGGCAGCAGCAGAAGTTGATTTTGAAAAGCTGAGGGTATGAAATTGTGAATGAAAGGTATTACATTGTAGGGGGATTAGGTAGAGGACTTATCTGATTTACCTGATATCCACTCTAAAGTGGCTGTGGCAAGAAGCTGGTGACATGTGAATGGTTCCTTCAGGTCATTCAATGTTTTCCAGATGTACATATTTTTAAGTAGGGATGTCCTTCTTTCAATGGCTTCAGCAGGCTGGCTATTTCACAGGTACTATTTTTGTGTGAAGACCTGTGATGGTCTTCTGCAATGTATTTTGGCAAGCTTGAAATTATTTCCCCGTATGTGTCACGTTAGATCACTTGAAGAGGTCATGTGAGCTGTACTTAATTTTATATGCACTTTATGGCAACTCAGTACACATGGAAATACTGTAAACAAATTTGAATGTTACAATCTAGTCGGCAACATGTAGCATTTAAGGTTTTAAGAAGCATGTGTTTTATCCTGGATACATGCAATCCTAATTTACCCACTTCATGTAGGACTAAACAATTGAAACAATCACAATTAAGAACTAAAGTAAGTGCTCGGCCATTCATCGTACAAGTCATCTTAGTTTGTGATTTCAACAGAAATTGGAGTTTTATTGAAGAAACACCAATTTCAACAAATATTGTGTGTTTTTATTTATTACCTTTATGTATTGTTTATGACAAGTACCAAAGAACTGGATAGGTATGGACACTGACCTTTTGTGTACTTTCCTGTATGATTGAAGTGACTTGGGTTAATCCCATTCATAGCTGTGTGACACTCTTATGTTAGCTCATATAAAGTTTATAAGACCAAGACTGAAAATAATATTAACAATTTGAGCAGTTTTACATTATCATAAGTATGGTGTTTATTGTATAATTTCTGATAGTTCTTATTTATCATATATATATATATAGTACAATACTCACAATTTACATAAATTTAGTAATGTGAATTTAGACCCAACCAAGTTTTGCTTTTAACACCAGACGTTACAAAATATTGAGTATTTACACATTCTCAATTTGGGCAATGTGTTATTTTGAGGCATGATAAGTCTTGTTGCTCCAATATATTTTGTCTACATCACCCCAGCTAGGACACACCTGAACCCTGCGACTCCTTATGATTACAGTATCATTTTTTTCTCGCTTTTGGATTATATTTTTATATATTAGTGCTTCCCAAATGTTCTTCAGGTTTCTGTCAAAATTCTTTCCAAACTACTTGGTATCATAGAAGTTGCCAAGTAGCATTCTCACTAATTGCCAGTTGACCCACTGGCCTTTATCTAGATAAATTACATTTGGGTCAGGGGGTTGATAAGAGTAAGAAGTGTCAGTGACATAGCTGACTATACATGTTGTACTGTATTTAAAAGCATCAAAATGTTAATTTCTAGGCATTTCATCAATAATACTTTAAGATAAGACAAGCAAACTGTAGTATTATTAATATATCACTATTAACATAATAGTTTGCAAGATAGCTTAAAAATGACGAAAAACCTGGAGGCTAGTTCACTTGGTTTTTCCTTGAAGTCAATGGTAATATTGTGGCTATATGATCCAATGGAAAATATATTTTCACTGTAAACTCCATTTAGTTCAAGTCTTATAAGGTTGTAGAAAGTTCTGTTAAATAATAGTTATTAGTCAAAATTTGGTCCATATAATTATAAATTATGACTTTTATCTTTATTATTATAAATGGAGTGTTATGATGTGCATTGGTCACATCTTACATTTACCTGAGGGTCAATAACCCTAGTGGTCTCGACAAGGACCGGTGGCTTGTTGAAGGTCCCCCCCATTTGCCTTGATCTTTTCCAGGTATATTTTGAAATTCAGCACAGTTTTGGCAGGTAGGCAGTTCCATGGGTTAATAACACTGTGGATGAAAAAGCATCTCCTGTTCTCAGTCCTACATTGAGGCTTGTTGAGCTTGAAACCGTTGCTCCTTGTTTGTTACATCTGACCTTCTGAAGAAAATATCCGAATCAACATCCTCTAACCTGTTCAGTATTTTAAAAGTTTCGATGAGATCTGCCCTGTCATGCCTGGTTTGCAGTGTTGTTAGCCCTGTGGCCTTGAAGTGTTCTTGATACAAGAGATGACTTAGCTCTAGAATGACTTTTGTTGCTTGGTGTTGCACCTTTAGAGCAGCTAATGTCCTTCCAAAAATGAGGTCATCATGCTTGGATACAGTAATCTAAGTGTGGGTGCACCAGAGATTTATACAGTTGAACCATTACCTTCTTTTCCTTATAGTATGCTTGATTATCTCAAGAGTTTGGTTAGCTTTTCTGACTGATGCACCCACCTGTTGTGCAATTTTTTAATAGGTGGTGGATCTTTACTACCAGGTCCCTTTCTTCATCAATCTGCTCAATCTACATGTGGGCAAAAAATAGTAATTAGTTAGGATGTTAATAATACATGAAGCTAATAAGCTATCAGAAGTTGTCTGGCATCATCATGTCAGTTCTCTATATCTAGTGGTAAGATTCAGTAGGGGGACAACTTTTGATAATTACTGTAATTACTTTCTTGTACCAAAACAAATATTAAAATGATTTAATACTTGAAAAAAATTGTATACTGTATAGTAATATTTCCTACTTTGAATTAATATTATATTGTTCAATAAGGCATTATATATAATACTGCTGTTTCTAGCAACCCATCCCCCTGCAATTATAGTATGTTTTGTAACTGATTGTGAGTGCCAATATCTGGCATTGAAGCTCCAATAAACAACTTTTTGTACTTTTTTTTTACGTCAGGAAAATAAAGCTAAAACCAAACTTAAATATTCCTAGGTCAGGTCTTATTTATGTTGCTAATAAAAGGTTTCTAGTTTGTCCAAATTAAATAATACAATAGCCTACAAAAGTCCATCACGACATATACTAATTACATAGTCAAAAGTACCAATAAGTACTTTCATTTTAGGGGTACGCTGGTTTTTAAGGCATCCTGTTCATAATGCCAATCTGATGCAGATTAAAAATGTAGTTTATTTACTAAGTACTTGAATATTCTATTCACATTTCTCATGAATGGTAATTTGCAAGTACTGTTTTATAATGTACTGCCTTTTATATACAAACACATTGTAGCCTTATTATGCCCAGGACAGTTAAAGCAGCTGTATAATTTTAAAGGCTTGTATTGATCATTGAACCTGTACTTAATTAACAACAAATAATTTCCAGCATTTTACCAATGTAATGATATACTCTACCAACATTTTTGTCTAAAAAAAAAATAACCACCCAGAAAGTTTTGTCAACTCTAAATTTATAACAATTTAGTATTCAGGTTAATAAAATAATTAAAATACCGTATAATAATCACCTAACTAGCCTAATGAAGTGGCACACCATCTGAATAACAAGTGAAGCACTCCAAGAGATGGTGTTAATTGTGTATACCATTAGGTTATGAACGTTGGGAATTGTAGAAGAGAAGGAACGGGAGTTATAATTGTAAAGATGTATACTATTCAGTTTTGTCATATGGAAATTAAACTGATATGAAAAAGTAGTAGTAGTGTGCAGAAGAATACAAGCAGTAGACGTTTTTGGTTTTAGAAAAAGCAGCTGGTACAATTATGTGGGTTGGGTATAGTAATGATGTATAAAAGATGGACTTTGAGCAAAAGGAGTGAAGGAATAGAGGGAGAAAAACAGGACAATGTTTTGTTCATTTACCATATGGGACACAGGTACAAGGAAGTGTGACTTTGAATTAAGTTGGTTGTAACATCTTGCCAGTCCTACAAATCTATTAAATGGTAGGAGTGATGAATAAGTGTTAAAAATGCTAAGTAAAGTATTACTATATACTTTAGCAACTATATACTCTGAAGATTCATAAGTTCCTAGACATCACTCAAAATGATAATACTGTACAGATACAGGAAAACACAAGGTGTGCTATGGCAAAGGTGCTATACCTGTACTGTACTAGAATTTAATTGTGCACCACCAGTTAAAATGCATAAAAAAAATGTTTCTTTGAATGAGGCCTTCACATCCCTGAATCTCCACCCATCATGGAGCCTGACTAGTGGGGTACTGTTTAGTATATGTGCATTACCATTGATGAGAGTAATGGTACCAGAGATTGGTAGGTGTATTAACATTGCAATACTGTATCTGCTAATCTACATCAAAATTGAAATGCCAACTTGTACAGTTAAGCTCCACCTAACAGCCTATGTAATCCCTTTCTCTGTGAAGGAAAGACTTAACCGGGTTGTTAAACAATTTGGCAGGTCGTATTCCGGGGAATATTAGGAAAAAGGACTTGGTCAAAATGCTGTGTGCTAGTGACTACAAGAATGTAAGAAATCCTGTCTGGCACTCGTTCTCGCTCGCTCTCTCTGTGTACACACATTATATATATAATATATACACATATATATATAAATAAATAAAAAATGAGGGGAAACAATATATGAGTCACTGTATATAGCAAATTACGAGTGGGAAGCTGCTGCTATGAACAGTTTCGTCTCACCTTTAACCTGAAGAAAAACTAAGCCATTCACCATCCACAAGGTCACTATGATGTAGAACAGTGTTGTGATGCTGAACTGGAGGGGGAAATGTCAGTGTTGTTGTAGGGAGGGTTAGCCATAATCCAGTTTGGACATATGAGTAACTAGTATCACTATATAGCACTGTTACAGAATAATCAAGTGATTCTTCTTACCATTCAGGATGACAAAACAAGAGTAGAAACATGATGATTTACCTCAAATAAGTCGGATTCACAAAGGATTTTATTGAGGGACATATAGTGTACGAAAACAGTTGGGAAATAAAATTTCCATCCTGAAAATCACAACATTTTACAAGTACTGTAGGTGCCAAACAGCAGGACAAGGCAGTTTTGACAGCAAGGTGCAGGCCACATTATGTGCCCACAAGCTATTCATTCATCCCAGTCCATAAACTGCCTAGAAATGTTTCCCTCTTTCTATTTTAGTGACAGGAGAAAGACCAAAGTGACAGGTCACATTTAATAGCATGTAATTTATTGAGGTAATTACTAATCAGCTCTTTGAATGAATGAACTCATTATGAATGACAAGGTTCAAATCAGAGTAAGGAATTCACTTTGGCAAAATGTTATGGGCATGAACAGCTTCTTAAGCATCAGCTGTCATTGTTAGAAACACCAATATGGCTGGAAACCCAACAAAACTTGACTGTATTGTACCTGCTAAAGGAAACACCCAGTTTAAAAAATCAGCACAGGATGAGAAGTAATAAATGAATCCAGTGTCATGATATCACTGCATGTCTATTACAAAAAAAGGAGTAGAGTTGAAAGAAAAAGTGGCACAACTGCATCCTCATATAATCACAGTTATGGAGACAAAATTCACAAATATAATAGAGCATGGAATATTCCCAGGAGGATACCATGTAATAAAAAAAAAAGGATAAATGGTTGGGGGAGTAGCCCTACTGATACAAGAACATTTGAGCTTTCAGGATATAGAGATCCCAGAGGTAATCGACCAGAAAGATTTTATACTAGGTATGATAAGAGTGAGGACCATGAAGATAGTGGTAGATGTTATTTACAACCTCCATTAACTACAGGAAGTTATAGGGCAGATTATGATTAATGCACCAAAATATGCAGCATTCTGGAAGTTCTCACTCCCTCATAGTCACTGATAGACTAACACAATATCAAACTATATAACAAGAATAATAACCATTCCATCCACACAATCACTTGTGAGAGGTCACCCTATCATGATGGATGACACTACTTATTGCACACTACTCCAGCAAGAAGGAAAGGAGAGCAGAAGCTACACTCAATTCTCTAGGAATGAAATGAAAATGCCTCCTTACCATGTCAAGGCTGCACCCTTAAGTGCACTTTACCATGAGCATTGCACAACTGTTACTTCTTCTTATAAAAATTTACCAATCATTCTATTTAAGTGTAATACAGCATAATTTACAAATGTACAAATCCAAATATTTACTTATGTCAATAGAATACTGTATTATTAAAACTTGATAATAAAGTCTGTATATCTTATTGCCCATTAAATGCACACAACCAAATATATAATTAGTTGCACATTTTAATGCCATTCAAAATACAGTACGTAATAGATAAATATATGGTAGTGTGTCCCAGTTGTATAAATATATACCGATATATTCATGGAGTGTTAAAACATTTTCAAGATCAAAGCTAAAATGGCAATTTGAATTCAAATTATTGTATTCTGTGCACAATTGGGCTAATAGGTATTACATTTTTTTGTATACTGAAACTACGAGGTGTATTTTACAAGGGAGGTCATTTACTGAACATTCTTAAAAAGCCTTTGCACCATAAAACAGGGGTCCTGAAAATTTTCCACATTCAGAATATTAGACAAAAAGATACTAAACACCAAAAGGAAGAGACAAGTAATTATCAAGAGAAGACACTAAGTTGTGAAAACTATTTGACCACCACCAAACAAGTGGATAGAAACAATACCAGACCAGAGACAACAGAATAAAGGCATACAGATGGAAGTTGGAAAACAGATGAACTAGATAAAAAATATATTGATATACAATATCAATATATTGATATCGAGTGGTAAATAAGTTGAAAAATATTTATGCCAGAAGTGGAGGCAATTGAAATTCATAGTTTCAAGAGCTAGTATAACATCCTATGGGACATCATGTGCAAATATACCATGTGCAATAGCTAGAAGTCTATTAGAGCTGAATTTCCCTCCCTGAACACATACCTAGGTAAGTACGTCGGTTAACTACCAAAATTCAGTACCCAGCACCATTCCAGAAATAAGATAATAATGTAAACAAATGTATAGAACTATTACAGTAGTAATTTTATTAATCCCATATGATGTAGATATTGGCATACACAATAGTTATCAGCCATGCTTTGCACAATAAACTACAAGCAGCATTTGCCCATCATCCACTTTGACCTTGTAAGCTAAAAATACAAACAGACTTAAAATATATAAAAGTTCAACATCAATTCTCTTGATACACTTTTGAAAATTTTAAAAGATCAACACGAGGAAGACATTACCCAAATAAAGGCCATAAAAACAAATGGCAAATTAAACTATAATCTGGTCTTAATTCTGAAATTATTTACTTCTCGGTGCTCAGTGACATGATTTGTTTACACTCCAGTCAAAAATTTATATACAAAAATATCAGCTAGCAAAACTGTAAACATATATTTTACTCATACTAACTGAAAATAGCAATTTACGAAAAAAAAAAAAACTTCTCAAATTTACAAGTCCAATACAATATTTAACAGTTACAAAATAAAGAGTTTTTAAGATAAAATATTTATTGTCAACAATCATTTCATGACACTTTGTTGTGCTCGTGTATGAAAGTTTGGAATATCATTTCAGCAAGCTTTACGTCTCAACTGATGCAATTTCTATCAAATTTAATTCACTTAAATGTATAACACATCCACTTACCACAAAATATTGACCTATAACAATAAAATCAATTGAAAAAATAGCACTTAAAATCCAGGAACTATATGACCTTTCTTTTTCATTTTCTTCATCTTCTTATTTAGTTTGGTTTCTTTTCGTGCTTTAATGTTCTTTTTTCTTGCATTCTGCTTTTCTTCCTTTTTCTTTTCTATGGTTTGTTTGCGCTCTTCCCAATTTTTCTGACTGGTTTTCTTGCTTGATTCTTTCTTCTTGATGGACTTCTTAATTAAATCTACATCATTTCGTACCTGTTATAAGTGAACAATAAAATTCAGTACCCAGCACCATTCCAGAAATAAGATAGAAATGAAATTAAATGTATAGAACTATTACAGTAATAATTTTATTAATCCCATATGATCTAGCTATAGACATACACAATAGTTGTTAGTCACAATAATAAAATTGTTTGCCTAAGTGCACAAAAATAAACAAAATGCAATAAACAATATGCGGTACCAACTGCTCCAGGTAATCGAAGTTGACAACTGCAGTTGTGTTTACATCCACACACTTTAATTTCCATTTTTTTTAAGTGTTGGTCGAGTATGGCATAAGTATCAAAACAGTCACCATAAGCCCAACTGAAAACCTCATTATTAATACAGACAACTAATTTTTTTAATTTTGATTAAAGCCAATCTGTCAATACTTACTTTTAATCCTTCTGCTTTCTGCAGTGCACCTGACCATGCTTTCTGTTCAATTACTCCGGCAGCCTTTTCTGTTTCACCTTTCTGCTCCATCCTTTTAACCTACAATATATCCCACATTAGTACATTCTGCACGTCTCATTCCAGGCTCCTTTCATTATAAAAAAAATGTTAAATAGTAATTTGTCAAGATACTGTAATCACAAAACATGACAATTTTGTATTTCATTTTATAATAGTTAAGAAGTCACTTTAGTACAGTACAGTATATTCAAACTCCTATACCACCAGGAAACTGCATTTAGGTACGCAGTTTCCTGGTGGTACTCGGTATACAGGTGTAGGCCATACAGTACTTTGAAAACCTTAGGAAAGGCCTTCAAGTTCATTAGACAAACCTTTTCTTTCTCCTTGAGAGCCTGTGACAGCAACTGCTTCAGGTCTTTAGGCTTCAAGTTAGTGTCAATATCTCCAGTAGTGGAATCATTTGAAAAGTCAAATTTGCTAAACACTAGCTGTCCTTTCTTATTGTAGATTGGTTTTTTGGGCTTTGAGTCTGCAATAAAGTAATATTATACATTTCACATGTTCAATATGATTTAATTATTTTTATAAATACTGTATTACAGTACACATTACACAAATACTGTATTACAGTATTTAATACTTTAATAGTATTATTACAGTAATTATAAACTGTAAATGTATTTGACAACTGTATTTAATTTTCAAATTGATTGATAAAATATATATACACTAGTCTGTAAGCTTTTGTTGTATACTAATCTTAATACCCACACTACTCCCTGATAGTATGACATGAACTTGTGAATGATGTTGCTTTAGTAATGGAAGATAAGACTACACACTCAAGGTCAATGTATGGTCCTCACAGTAGGTGTGGATACACAGGAAAAACTTTATATGAACATTCTTGTGTAATATATATATATAAACAGATAATGCAGTAAAGGCACAATAAAATAGTCCCAAGTATTAACATATAATATTATAATAATATTTACCATTAAAAGAGAATGATTATCAAAAACAATCAACATGAAATAGTGGAAATTTACTTTATGTGACTGACCGACAACCTGGATTTCACCCACATCCCCCTGGAATCTTTAATTTTGTTTTTGCCCTAACAAATCCAAATTTAGGAGGGGAGACATAGGTACATCGATTCGTTACATTGTTTACAGGAATCAGTTACTGTATATGGATGTCCAGATTTGGAGGGCATTCTGTATAGTTTTAAGCATTTAAAAATAAGCACATAACTACATTTAGACTAAGAATACAAACAAGTACACTTTTCAATATACTGAGAGGCAATGTTACAGGAATGTAAAATCTTCACAATTTTAGTGATTCACATTACTGTATTTATCCTAAAAGGGGGTATGTTCATATGTACTTTACCCTACAAAAGGGAGAAACAGGTTAATATCCATTTTGTTTTCTCACAGATACCCTTTTTTTCTCTAGAAGTTCCCACATTACATACACATCTTACCTTGATTCCCTACACCAGTACTTACCATGCATCAGTTTTTCTTTAATTCTTTCTCTACACTCCCTTACTCCCAATCATCTTATTTTGTAAAATATAAAAAGAAGTAACTCACCCTGATTATAACCATTTTCTTTGACCTCCGCTTCAAATTGTAATTTTTCCAGTTTGGTATTCTTTTGAAGTCTCTTAGTTTTACGTTTCTTTAATCTGTTGAGTTTTTTGTTCAATTTTGCTTCTTTTCTTCGTGTTGCAGGGTCCCACAATTTCTTTTTCCTAGTACCTAATAAAATAAAAAATACATAAATATTGAATTACAGCAAATTGATTTTACATCCCGTGTCCCCACCAGGAACCACTCACTAATAATAAGAACGTAAGAATAGACTGCAGAAAGCGTGTTAGTTCACGTAAAGCAGTTCAAGCAGCTCTAATTTACATTCAACCACACCCACTCCTATATTAGTCTAACCTAACGCTTGAACAACAACCCTACATCTATTACGTTGTACAACCACCTCTTCCTCAAATCTATAACCCTATTTCCAAACCAATATTTACTTCTTTCCTGCATCTGAACTTATCCATTTGTATCCATTATTCTATTCTCCTTTCTGTTGATGTTATTAGTATCCTATAAATATCCCTTGTTTTACTCTTACATTCATTTGTATGCTTTCAAATATCCAGGATTAACTTGTCGTATTAAAGTACAGTACAGTACTGTAATATGACAAGTATTATTATATTAGGTATATATATATATATATATATATATATATATATATATATATATATATATATATATATATATATATATATATATATATATATATATATATATATATATATATATATAAATAAATTTAATAGGCCTTACTTTTTAAATTTGCCAATGTACTTGAATATTTCTCCTGGAGTTCATCAAGGTCTGAAAACCCTACACCACCTGTAATAAAGAAAAGAACTTAAATAATCAATTGCTCTTTAACAGATCAAATCTGATCTCATGACAGGAAAATCAATACTGGTCAGTCTGATTGCTACATTTATGCTACATTTAACTACAAGGAAGTTTAACTAATTTTTTTCCACTAAAGGATACACCTGGACATGCATGTAAGAAAATGAAATGAAATTGTATTCCGATAATTAAATTTACCAATCTTGGGTTATGCATATTTTTAACATTTATTCAAAGGTATCATTAAGCACAGGAATCACAAGACCATAAAAATAAAGAACTTATGAATAAGGCTATAGAAAGATACATAAAAACTTGCCTTTAATTTGGTTTTGCCTTGAAGATTCCTCCTCTTTCTGCCTTTTATTACTCGTACCTAAAACAAAAATTTAGTATCGGTGTTCATTTTATTTATGTATGGGTCAACACAATTATGCATGTTATAGTTATAGGGCAAAGTCACTAGTATCCATCCACTCCAGCCCCCCCCCCCCCCAAAAAAAAAAACCTATACCACCTCCACCAATGGACAGAGCAAAACCTTAAAAATGCCAGGAACTTTTCTAATAAACTCTTGTAACATTTAAAAAGAAAAGATATCTAATATGAACCGAGGTACTGTATACAGTATTATTATTTACAGATGCATCTGTCCAGTTATACTGCATACTCCATACACAGTTTCAAATGTAGATATGATAGAGCCCAGTAGGCTTAGGAATCTGTACACCAGTTGGTTGACAGTTGAGAGGCAGGACCAAAGAGACAAAGTTCAACCCCCACAAGCACAATTAGGCGAGTACTGCACTAGTCCCGAGCACCACTTGTCAACACCACACAAGCTCTAATTATATTTAATGTAAAAGTATTTTTAACACTTTCGCCCGGGCATGAAGCAGCATCATCCGTTTACTGTCGGTAATGACAGGTATGACGCAGCATTGCGTCATCCACTTTAAATAATCGCCAAAAATCAGGTTTTTATCAGATTTTTGGGGGACTGGTTTTAAAATGCGCGCCGATGTCTTCCCATTTTCTTTGTTGCGCCTCGTGGCCCACAGGCGGCTCGGCACACACCGTCGGCCCATTGTTGTGACCAGTGTCGCCTCCCCTCGCATCTCAAACGTGTGAACATTTCGGCCATTTTCCGTGGCTATATTTCTTACTGCGGCTTTAGAAACTATCTACGCTTACTCCACGATGGATAATGATCATGAACAAGGCTCTTCCAGGAAGAAAATTGCGAAAGAAAGGCTTGAAAAGGGCAGGAATTGGGAGTGTAGCTGGAAGGCGCCTGAGCGCTCACTCGCGGCTAACGCGTGGCCTGTCTTCAACTCGTCGGCATATTTTATATGCTAATGTTCCTCTAGAGAATTCTATTGCAAACCCATTGAGACCAAAATGAAAGACCTAGGATGAAAATTGAGGTGACCAGAGTGAAAATAGTGAAAACATTTTATCGCATTTGCACGCTCCTGGGTAACTCGTTCGCACTTTCTCTGTTTGCTGCGGGTAATTAGCCGTGCTTTTGGAGTTTATATGCATTTAGTGCTGTAGAGAATTCTATTGCGAACACAATGATACCAAATTTAATCTTGTAGGACGAGAATTAAGGTGACAAAGTTGAAGAGAGTATACACTTTTCAGAATTTACGTGCGCTCCCGTGAAACCCTGGGACCCAAATCGCACAGTTGAGGGGTGGCGCGCGGGGTACGCCAAAGTGTTAATTAAAACAATGTTTCCTCAGCTTCAAAACAAGCCCACCATGAAGTCTCTACTTCAATTAGAAGGATATATTTTTTTGAGTTTGTAAGTAAAAATATTTTATTTTTTAATCACAATGGCAATCCTGCTGTGTAAGTATCATGCATATGCATGTTACTTCATGAACTCTTAACAACCTACCAAATGTCATTTAAATCTGAGATGGTTGGGTTGGGAGCTTTGATGATTTGCCATGGAATGGTGCCTACACAGAAGTTTTTCATAACATTTTCATAACAGCACTACAAACATGTTCAACACCCTCCCAGCGAGCATAAGAAATATTGCCGGAACAACCGTGGACATCTTTAAGAGGAAACTAGATTTATTCCTCCAAGGAGTGCCGGACCAACCGGGCTGTGGTGGGTATGTGGGCCTGCGGGCCACTCCAAGCAACAGCCTAGTGGACCAAACTCTCACAAGTCAAGCCTGGCCTCGGGCCTGGCTTGGGGAGTAGAAGAACTCCCAGAACCCCATCAACCAGGTATCAACCATTAAGTATTAAGTGAGTATTAAACATGCTCATCACTTTCCAAAGTCCTTCTCTATTAACATGGTCATATGTCCTTTCAAAGTATAAGTAAGTAATTATCAAAAGGCACCAAACTGGGAAAGCTCAAAGTACAATAAATGGCATGTATATCTTTCAATTTTTATCATATGCTTTCTCTTCCACAATGGCATTCTCTATCCTGCCATACTTTATCCACTACACTTTTAAACTAATGCACCCACAATTCAAACATTTGATATGTAAAATCTTAACTTGTATACAATGATACAATCAGGGGGCTCATATTTTCTAATACTGTGGCAAACTATTCTATTCCTCTTAGCAAATTCTCTATTCCCATGCCATTCTCTTTTTCTCACAATTAATTTTGCATAAATTTCATCAACACCTTTAGCTTTTATAAAGCAGCTGCCATCTTGCACTCTTCTAACACCATTAAGTCAATCCACATCAAAGTCTTATGCATGTTCACATCAGCATTTCATACATCATTTTTAACCATTAGACTTTTAAATTATTCTCACCACCTACTCATTAAAACAAAATATTAACTTACACTACCTTCATTAAAACATGAAACAAAGTACTGTACACTAACCTGCACTCTCTTCAAAGGAAACTTTCTTAGCAGGGAGCCATGTTAAAAAATTAGTTATAAACTTATTTTCTTCCAGTAAAGCACTCTGAACCTGAAAAGATAAATACAGTACAGTAATTTTGTTTCACAACATTAAATACAGTAAAAAATTCAGCTAACAGTAGCACACATTTAAATAAGACAAGGATATCATGTCCAACAAGGACTAATTACTGAAAATCACTGCTACCTAGGTAAGTGCTGTATGATCCATAATTTGGCTCATTTGATGACTGCATTATACTAGACAATCAACACATGACTGAGGGTTAAGGAGATTGCATAGAGTTCTGCCTATTTATGAATCCAGCTGAATGAAGCAATTAGTAGTAGTAATTATAAAGATAGTGTTATGCCAGTATGATTATATACTGTACAGGAATTTGATATGGAAGTCAACCTAGAGTTAAATACTATTCAAGATGCCAATACAGGCAAGACACAAGGCTATACTGTACATTCAGCCTGTCCTCCTAAGGTTTCCCAACATCAAGGAAACGGTCGATTTAAAGTGTCCTCTCCAAACTTACCAGAGGACCCAAAACAGAAAACGTGAGAGTACGTCACTTTCGTGAGCTGCTTCCATTTTCTACTACAACAATTTTTGGCCTCATGATTAGTGCATACGAGCAAAATGCGACGTTCTTTGCAAGAAGACAGGTTGATATACAGTATTGTATATGAAAATGGTCCTCACAGAGCAGTATTGATAATTGTTGCAAAGGAATTCTTAGGAAGCATAGTTTTATATCATGAAAATGACATTCAACTAAGAGATGCAAGGTTTTAAGTGAGGAAAAAGATTAATCATGAAAGTAGGAGGCATGCTTTCTATTCATTAAATAAGCATGAATTGGCAAAGTACAGTATTGCCAAAATGTAAGCTGACCAAGGTGGTTTTCTATTTATGATTCTGATAAGATGGCAGCCAAATCAAAATCATCATACTCCACAGCATGGAATTTATATGGGTTAAGAGAGACAGGGAGTGTCGTCTAATTAGCATATTTTGTGTTTCATCTGCAAGTTCATTGGAGTCTATTGTTCCATTAATAGGTTTCATTATACAGTACCTCAGACCCTTGAGCAAGGTTACAATGTTCTTGCATCATTGCAAGTATATATTATGAAAAACACTAAGTTTATTTGTAGCCGAGAAATAAAGGCAGCATTAAATATTAATACTTAAGTACCTTATTGAGTGAAGAGTGATAAAAGGACTTTTGGAGCTCTCTGGAACATGACCTTATTTTTCCTATAAGCTGAAGAGTATTGCACCTTCAAGTTTGAGTTGTCTATCTTTACAGGAAATGTAATCTCTGCACAAAATAAGTTTTAGTAGCTAATTTAAAAAATTTATGCCAAAAATTAATTAGGAGAAAGAATTAAAACTGTACAGTACAAGACATTCTATACTGTTCAATACTTATGCATTTAAAAACTAATAAACTTGTTAAATTTATTTTCACCCTACGCCTTACAACAGAACACAAAACCGAAAACCGACTGTGGTGGTCAAAGTGTTGATCAATTAATTAGTTTAGCCTATGGTTAGTAATAGCCTTCATTTGGTCTCCTGTGATCATAATCAAGGGCTTGGAAAGGATATGATCTCTTATGGCCAACTCTGAGTTGGATTTAAGTAAGTACTGTATGGGACTATTTCTCCAATGACACTGCACAATAATATACTAAAGAATGAATGCTTCATAATTCCTTGTGGTGTGTCACCAATGCCTTACTACACGATCCATGTTCAAGTACCCAGTGGGATTTTAATGTAAGAGATGATGATGTAAGAGACAATAATGTGGACATGACAAAACTGTAGGATATTCCTGAGATACCTATGCAATTATCCAGTAAAACTAAAAACTAAAATAGTTACACAAGCATCTAATATTATTTTAATTATTAAAGGCAATTACAGATCAATCTTGCAACACATTATAGTACATTACAGATAAAGTAATTTTATATGAGATAACTTGAGACAATTCAGTATCAACTTACTTGTGGCCAATCAGACAAATTTGATATAATATCAGAATTGCTGTCTACAATGCACCCGCTGTCTACACTTTCTGCTACATCTTCCACCTCACCATTGTCTAACACCTCTTTGCTCCCTCTCTCTTTTCCTTCTGTACTTTTAGACTTCTTTTTCTTTTTCTTCTTTTTACTTGATCCCTGTTTATCAAGCACAACATCTTCACTTTCCACATCATTATTTATGCCCGTACATTCCAATTTTCTCTTTTTTTTACTTTTATCATAGACAATATTTTCTGCCACTGTCTCTGTATCTTCTTCTGTATCATGTCTTTTATTCTTGCGGTTCTTGCATTTCTTTTTCTTGGATTTTGACCTCTCGCCCATCGTTAACGTGTCATTAACATCCAATTCACACGCCATTATTACAGTAATTTATTTCTGAACTAGGTTACCTGTGGACCAAAAAAAGAAGTTTTAGAGAGACAAAGTCAAAAGACCCCAAAACAAAAATATGTTACTCAAATATACTGTAATGGGAAAATACTGAATGTACTCTATAGTTTGAGGACTGTACAAATATAAAATAGAATGATGGGTCGATACCTAGAAAGGTACATAATATACAAAACAAATGATATACTGTAGCCAGATACTGATGCCATGGGAACCCAAGTGACAGTACAGTATTTGGCAATCATAAAGTATGATAATGCTTTCTCCAAATCAACTGAATATGCCAATGCACTATGCTAACTTGCAGATAAATATCTTAATACTCTGTGGTCTCCAAGGAACAAAACATTAAGGTGTTCTGATGGTAATGTCTACTCACAGACTTAACATAAAAGATGATTAGACATTGAGATTTAAGTCTCATCCTAACCACACACACACAGACCTTGACAAAGCACTCAGGAGAATGCAAAAGACTAATTTATTTACATAAATCTCTCAAATACACAAGTATTAGTTTTTATTCTATATTAGGGTGGTTGATGCCAGTGATCAGCCAGTATGCAATGTTGACGTCCACCTATATGGTGGGAAAATGGGAAAATGGGCAGGTTGTACCTGCAGGAGCCAAGAATGCACAGTACAGTAGGTTGTCAAAGGAACAGTACAAACATGTATAAAAGATGGCATTTATTAAATATCAATATATACATGTTTATACAGTACTAGCAAAATTATTTTTCAAATGAATGATAAGACTATCTGGCCAAACTAGTTGGCTAATAACTGACACCTGTCATGTGCTAAAAATTTAGCAACCTACCCATTTTGGTTACTATCCCAATATATATTGGTTCTACCAATCTAGATTGTCGTTTCAGTCCAAGGATAAACATCTTAGAATAAAGTACAGTACATATTACAAAGTACATATTACAGTACTTCGTATTTTTTAATGTTCCTTGAGCAAAAATATTAGTAGCCTTACCCCAATACAACCTGAGAGCAACTATGACCACATCATTCGCTATCTTTAGTTTCACATTTCATTGAGTGAACTCATTTCAAAACTTACAGTACTATGCATCATCCAACAATTTTTTTTAAATATCTTAATATCACTTAAAATGTGAACTCTTATGAACACCAAAGCCCAAGAGTGGGCAGAGCTTATCACCGCCACGCCGGCAGCCGCACCATCACCCCCAGCGGCTCAATTATTCATTCTCCCCGACCACTCTTTTATACACCAGCTCTCACCCAAGTATTTCACTCCGATTTCTTGCGATTTTCCTGGGATCAAAGATAAATATTCTAGAATTCTTACGTGATACCACTCTCTCTACATTTACATGGTGTAAATATTCAGTAATTTCTTATTGCAATTAAGAATCATCCTTTGCATACACTTACACAGAAAAACATACTTGTAAAACAAAAATTTAATTTAATTTTTTTTTTAATGTAAGCTGACTATATGTGCTTACCTTACATTAGCTCTGTATGCAGTTGAAGTGCACAATATACATATATATTACATATAACAGTCATGCAATACATGTGACAAGACAGTCTCCACAAGACCCACCCGGCCTATACAAATCCAAACCATTGACAAATTATAAGAACCTGAAGAGAAATTTGAGCTATAATTTAGCAATAATAAAAAAGCAGCCGCTCGAGTCAATAACAAAGCTTGCTAGAGGCCACCACACACCTGACACAATAAACCACAACCTGTACAAGTGTGGCCTTGTGCGCACAGCCATCAGTCTCACACACCTGTCACCTCTTTAACGTCTCGCTCTCCCCCATAACACACTTATTCCCATAGTAGGCATTACTTAAATAAAACCACACCTTCAAGAGACTTGATATCCGTGATATATAAGTATCGATATCTCAGCAAAACCCCTGAACACAATCCCCCCCACACACACACTCGTATGTTACAACAGCTTTTTCCACTAAATTTACGAAATTACTGCAACTCTTGCTTCCTCGGCTGACCTGTGGCCGAGCTGGTGCTCAAGGTTCACTACCACAACAGCCGTGGGGGTCCACGAGGGCCAGGAGAGAGAGACAAGAGTAGCGGAGCCTGAAGAACCTGTACCACCTCCTCCTCCTCCTTCCTTGAGTCGCACATGGCCCGCCCGCCATCACCTCTTCCCTCCTCCCTCTCGCCCCGGCACCAACCACGCCATGCTCAACACTCCACCTAGATGTATATGTATGTATACATATATTATTGTTTGTGCCATCCAGTAAGATATACGGTATATTGATAAAGAGGTAAATGTTTTCTTTGTGCGAGGGTTTGCGTGGAGTTGCTACAGGACTGTGGAGGGTGTTTGTGTTGCCATGGAGACGGCGTCATACTTGTTTACTCTCTGCTCCTGCATTGCATTTCTACTAAAGATTTGTTTTATTCATATAGAGTACAGTATATATGATAATGTTACATGGTTGGGGTGTGAATTTATAATATGTAGGCTTTATAATGTTCCTAAATACGATTATCGTTCCGACCATATAATGAAAATAACAATTTCCATGGTCCAGAGCTGAAAACTGCCTATGTCGAGCTACTGACCCTCCCCCCAGGGTGTAAATACCCCGCAACATTTCCCTATTGTTGTTTTAGATTCAACTACTCGGAACACAAAGTACCAAGTAGCACTCTGTGGTGAACCCGTTGTGGACTTGCCTGGAAGAGGAGTGGGGCTGTGACTTCAATTTTTCTAACTCCCAGAAGGTACCTATTTACTGCTAAGTGAACAGAGGGAATGGGTGAAAGGAAACGTGCCCAAGCATTTCTGTCCCGCCTGGGAATCAAACCCAGGATCCCCGACTGCCCGAAACGCTATGCGTGTTAGTGATTGCACTAACTTATTAGATAAATTAATATTAACGGTTCTATTAATGTATATGAACAATGATTACTGATACTTCTGGTGCTACATAGCCTACCCGGCTTGGTACATTCTTCTGAGAACTACTTACTTACTTGCTGATACATCTCTGGAACTTACTTTACTTCTTTACCACAGGCGCTCGTATACCTGATAAATTCCTAAACATGGCAACGGAAACCAGTACCAGGGAGCCTCCACAAAGCATATCACCGCAGCTGGGACCCAAGGCTACGAAAATAAAGGAGAGACTCCGAAGTAACATAGATAAGTGAGTAATTTAATTTGTGTTTGTCACCCTGAGGGACTCCTGGGATCCCCAATCATCTGCCCATCTATGCGATTATTAGCCCTAAGACACATTAGTTTCCGCTGATAAGCGACATTCATTTCGCGATTAACCCTTCACGGGTATGCCGGGGCGCATCCGATCCTATGATCATCGTCGCCCCTAAATCAACAACAACAACAACACGAAGACGTTAATGACTCCATAATGTATTAGTCTATGCATGTCATCATTAATTGTGATCTTTTTATTGTATTCATCTATTTTTCTTGAACTTTTTCAATTTTTGTTAGCTTACTTCTTTTTTGGTATTAAGTTAATAACCCTCCAGAGGTTGATGGGCTTTAATCCCAGCACCAAACCAATGGATAGTTATGGCTTCTGGAGTCCCTTTATTTATATGTTGTTATCACGCTCCAGCGAGGACAACATGACGGTGAGCAGGGAGGACGCAGGGGTGCTGCAAGCTACCCAGGCGGGCCACAAGTTCACCCACGCCCTCCACGCCCACGAGAACACCCTCCACGCCCTCGTCAAGCACGGCTGTACCATGGTGAGTGGGTCACGCTTGTAATGAAGATCGTGGTAGCAGTGCTGGTGGGGTGAGGGTGGTGGTGGCAGGGTGGACATGGTGCTTGTGATGATGGCAACGATATTATGGTGATGACGTAGCCTGTCCTCCTAACGTTTCCCAACGTCAAAAAACTGTCGTACTAAAGTGCCCTCATCCTAACCTACCAGAGGACCCATAACAGTAAACGGAACACTATTTCAATTTCGCGAGCCGCTACCATTTTCTAGTACGGGAATTTTTGTACTTAGGTTGAGTATACGTCAAAATGTGGCGCTCTGTTAGGAGGACAAGTTGATGAACATAAAGACTAGTAGGAATGACCAAACGGCACTGGACTGATGATGATGGTTGGGTTGCAGGTGGGGAACGTGGAGGTGGCTGCGTTAAGTGGGGAGGTGACGGCAGTGGTGGAGAGTGAGGGGCGACAAGCAGAGTGGAAGAATACCCTGGAGGAGGACAACCGAAAGACGCAGGAGGCCTTGGAGAAGATCCAACAATACTGGCAGAACACCATCACACTCTCCATCCCCGAGGACCTCCACCAGAGTCTCTGTCAGCTCCGAGGTCAGTTGCCACTTGAAAGGTTAGTGTCAGCTCCGAGGTCAGTTGCCACTTGAAAGGTTAGTGTCAGCTCCGAGGTCTGTTGCCACTTGAAAGGTTAGTGTCAGCTCCGAGGTCAGTGTCAGCTACGAGAGCAGTGTCAGCTGAGGGATTATGGACAGGTTAAGTAACAGCTTAATCTCATTCTGGTCAGTGCCGGATGAGAGATTATTTTGTATCGGCCTCGAAATTTGTTTTTTTGTCAACCCAGATATTAGTACCAGAACTGAAGTGACTTAAAGGTTAGTGTCCGCCTATAGAAAGTGTGTGTGAGTGTACTCCCCTATTTGTGCCTGCAGGATCGAGTTCTAGCTCTTGGACCCCGCTTTTCTATCTGTTAGTTACAACACAATACAACACAATACAATTTTATTTAGGTAAGGTACATACATACAATAAATATTTACAAGGATTGTTTAACTTATAGGTATAGCTAGTACATACAATGCCTAAAGCCACTATTACGCAAAGCGTTTCGGGCATGATAAACTTAAATGACAAGCTTAATACTAATTGAGCATAATGAGTAGAATGAAAACAAGAAATGAAAACATAGATGAAAAAGCAGCACAAATACAATTATGTCGACAAACAGCGCTCTTTAAAGAAAAAAACAGACATTGGTTGACAATAGAAGGGTAAGGTAGGTTACAGGTAGTTGTAAGGTAAGGTAGGTTGTAAGGTACAGGTAGTTGTAAGTTGTAAGGTAGGTAAGGTAGTTGTCTAATGATATGACTCCCTGACCTATTTCCCTATCATACCTGCTTTTAAAGTTATGAATGGAGTTTGCCTCTACAACCTGCTCCTTTAGGTCATTCCATATACTCACTACCCTTATGCTAAAGGAAAACTGTCTAACATTCCTATGACACATCTGAGTCTCAAGCTTCTATCCGTGCTCTCTTGTTTTGTTGATATTCATTGTAAACAATTCCTCTGTTTCCGCCCTGTCCATCCCTCTTAAGTATTTTATACGTCTGTATCATGTCCCCCCTCTCCCTCCTCCTTTCTAACGTCGTCAGGTTTAACTCCTTCGGTCTCTTTTTCGTACCTCATCCCTCACAGCTCTGGGACGAGTCTCGTTGCAAACGTTTGCACTTTTTAGAGCTTCCTCATGTGCTTTTTTAGATGGGGGCTCCAAGATGGGGCGGCATACTCAAAGGCTGGCCTCACATAGGTGGTATACAGGGATCTAAAAGCCTCCTTATTTAGGTTTCTGAAGGATGTTCTGACTATTGCCGGCGTAGAGTATGCAAATGACGTTATTCTATTTATATGAGCCTCTGGAGTTAAGTTCGGTGTTATGTCTACTCCCAGATCCTTTTCTCTAGTCGTTATAGGGAGGTAGTTTCCCCTTCATCAGGTATCGGCCTCTCGGTCTCCTGATCCTATTTTCATCACCTTACTCTTGGTGGTGTTGAACTCTAGCAGCCATTTCTCGGACCAGCTCTGCAACCTGTTCAAGTCATCCTGGACAATCTTACAGTTCTTCTCATTAGTTTTGCACAATCTGCAAACATTGACATATAAGACTCAACTCCTGCAGTCAAGTCGTTTACATAAATGAGTAATAGTATGGAACCCAGGACCGATCCTTGAGGCATCCCGCTTGTTACTCTACGCCAGTCCGACTCCTCGCCCCTCACTGTCAATCTGACAGTGTGAGTGTGTGGGAGAAATTAGAAATTGGCTCTGGCATTGAAGTCAGGTACGCGTTCGATACACAAGTCTTGTGTCAGTTGGTCTCTCCTGACATCTGGTCTTTCCTCTCCAGAGTGGAGTCAGGAGCTGACGGACCAAAAGGTCAGGGTGATCGATGGATTGCGGGAGGAGCTTCGAACCCTGGACGCCACCTACACGGAGGAGATGCTGCAACACGCCCGCCAAAGGTCTGAACTTCTGCGCCGCATCACAGAACACGTCACAGAGCTACACCAAGCCTACCGCGCCTCCCTCAGGCAGATACAGGTGAGGGAGAAAACGCCAAGACATATGGTGAATTAGTGAATTAGAACACAGTTTACTGGCGTTCTCACGACCATATTATGTGTCAGTGCTTGGGAGAGGCAGATAGAGTAGACTTACTCGGTGAAAACAAAAAATATATACATACTGTATATATTTTTTGTTTTCACCGAGGAAAAAATCTCCGAAGGCAATCAACGTTTGTACTACCAGGATGTGGCGGACACTGAGAGGGCTGGCCTGGTCAAGTACTACGGCGAGGTGTGGGACGAAGCAGTAAATGAGCTCAACCAGCAACTGCAGCGTCTCCTTCATGAGCGCCTTCACAACAGGACCTCCCGTATGGAGCAGATCATTGAACTCAAACTTCACGGCGCCGCCCCGCAGGCCGCCATCAAGGATAAACTCGACTCCGATATTGAGAAGGTGAGTAATGGAAATATATAAGTATACACAACCAGGTCCTGTTCGAAGAGACAAAATAAAAGTATTTGAACGCCATTGAAGAACCTTGTCGTGCCTGCTTGAAGTTTCTATGTGTGCTACTTAGGTGATGGTGGAAGTGATGCGGGTGAAGGCGACGCAGCAGGTGGAGGAGAGCCAACTGCGGTACAGCCAGCAGGTGTTACAGCAGCAGCACAGAGAGACCACTGCCCTGGTGAGCGAGGCACGACGCACCCTCAACGCTCTCACACCAACACTCAACAACTACAGGAGGAAGGTGAGGGGGTAGTGTCGTGTCTTCCCTCGTCGCTATCCTCCTAGTGAATTTATTTTTTTTCATTGTAATGTGTGTCTTGACGTTTTCACCGCGGGGCATAACCTGGTCTGAAATCTTCCCACTGTGCAGGCGGAGGCTGCAGAGACTCGGAAGGTTGCAAGAGAGCAGGCGACGCTACGGGAGAGGGCGCGGATGCAGGAGTTGAGTGGGCAGTACCGTGAGCGTCTGGCCAGCACCACAGCCGCCTTCAGCCACAGGGTCCAGGGGCTCTGCCGCATGCACTACCACGAGCTGCGCAACCTCGTCATGCAGGTACCTTCACCAAAACATTTGCCAGGTTTCTTAAGTAATGAGGTAAGGGATAAAACTGTTGTAATTAACCACAGAGGACGCAAACATTCAGGAGGTACATGACACATTTTCTTTGTTTATTTTGCCTGTATTAATCCAGGTGGTGGAGGTTGAGCGGGCCATCCAGCGGGGGGTGCTGGCCAGGGAGTGGGTGGAACCGGACCTCAGCTTCCTCAGCGAGCTGGCCCCATCCCTGCCTAACCTCAAACACACACGCGCCCTCGACACTGCTACCAAGATCCTCAAACCCACCCAAGGTCAGCACTCGGGGGTCGTACCCTCTCCACTGCCCAAATCAATGTCTTTTGTGGTACCGAGAGGTTTATTATATTTTAAAATAAACTGAATTTACTAGGTTTGAGCTCCAATTAATTCAGCGGAAGTAGTTGAGCTCTATTATATGTATTTGCAGGGCAAGTGTTAGCTCCTGGGCCTCCCCTTACAGCTATGTCATCTGGGCTGCTAGGTTTCATCTGCGTCCTCTCGATCTTTCCCTGCTCATGCTCAAAATATTTAACGTTTGTCCACTTTATCCATGACTCCAAGAGTCTTGTATGTGATTGTATCCGGATCCCCACCACGTTCGTGGATCCTCACCACATCCGTGTATCCCCACCACGTTCGTGTATCCTCACCACGTTCGTGTTTCCTCACCACATCCATGTATCCCCATCACATCCGTGTATCATCATCATCATCATCATAGCATCACCTCAACATGTCTGCACCTCCGTGACAGATGGGTCAGTGGCCGGGAGCGAGGGTAGGCCTGGTGTAGAAGAGCAGTTTCTCACTTGTCTGGCGGAGGAAGCATCCTTCCTCATCAACGCCGACACCTCACACCTCACACACCACGGCCCTCTACTCATGCTCGAGCACGTCTTCTGGGTACGTCATTCTCCAAATCCACACCCTTGAAGCTTCTCTGTATGTATGTAGTTATATATCTCTGTAGTTAATCTTTTTTTAAAAATATTTCAGAGGTGTGCATCGTGCCTCATTAGCTGTGTGAGAGTCAATGTTTATGTATATGGGTTTACGTGGCCACCCTGCCAAAGAAATTTGGTATAGCTCGATGTTTGTGTCCGAAATTGACCTTCCTGCTCTGCTACAGGAGCTGGGAGTGCACTCGGAGCCCGACGTGTTGCGCCTCCTGCGACTAGCTCGCCGGTTCGTGTCCCAGCGCCCCGCAGGCTCACGCGACAGGTAACAACGCAGCACCTTCTATTGACATATATACGTCAATATATATTGATAGGAATATCCAAGAATATTCTGCCGGAGAAAGGAATTGAGCTCCCTAAGTCGAGTGGAATGCTGATTACATTTTTACTTCTTAATTGATCTGTTCATCTGAGTTACATGATTTACCTGGTATAAGTAAGGTCAATCTTAAGGGCTAAGTGTTTAGAGTATTTTTAATTTCCTGATTTCAGGAGGGGCGATGAGGCTGTTGGGAGTGATGGTGACGACAACCCGTCGCTGGGTCAGTAAGCTGCCTCGCTATACACCATACACCACATCCATGTATACCTTACATTACACACACAACATAGATACATTCTGGGTTAATACACAACAGTCTCTATAATTTAATTCTGTGTACAAAGAGTGATATTCTTACTATAAACCGAGAGATTCTGTAATTTAGAGCTTTATTTTTAATAAACACAAATTAAATATATTAGCAGTAAACATATGTCTCATATTTCTTCAGCATAGGCCAAGCATGCAGGTTCGATCCCATTGAATGGCTTCAATATTTTCTCACTTGCTCCTCGTGACATCTACTCTGTGTTTACGTTGCAGGAAGCGAGAGACTGTTCACATCAGAGGACGTCTTGAATGTTGTTATAGCCTTCTGTAACACCAGGTGAGGAGGCTCTTACACACCACTTGTGTTTTGGCCACAATGACCTCTAGACACTGGGATCCGTCTTTTGAATATTGCTCCTTAAGTGCAATGACTCCTGAGTCCCTTACTCATTCTTATCTCATAATTTACAGCAATGTAAGGATAGCTTTTTTTTGCATCTCTAACTCCCATTATATTTGTGCTCTTTTGTTCTGTCATCACCTATGCCAAACAATCTTGGCCCACTTTTGTAATATCTCAGTCTGTCACCATTGTAATGTACAGCCTTATCTCTCACTGGGGGTGGCACCCCACAGGCACTCGACAGGGGCTGGGCGTCTCGGAGGGGATGTGGGAGGGGAGGACCTCTACGCCCAGGAAGGGGAGGAGGCTGCTCGCTGGACTGCTTTCATAGACACCTTCTGCAAGAGGACCAGGGCGTGGGCGGCTACCAAGGAAGCGCTCGAGCAGTATAGGAATGTGCTTACAGGTGGGTGTTGGTGTGTTGTATTGGTAGGTGTTTGTATGTGGAGTAGAAGAGCCATCAGTAGATCGGTGGTTCTTGTGAACAGTGGGTGGAGCAGAGTGGAAGAGCAGATGTAATCTAAGAACATAAGAATAACAAACTGCAGGTGGCCATCTGCTCCTATTTATACCCACTCAATCTCATTTCAATAAGTGGACTGTGAAATATAAGAGAACCAAGTGGCCTTTTACATCCCTCCAACACTTGTGATTCTGGGCGGACTAGCCCGGCTACAGACCAGCAAGACGCAGCCTTTGTGAACCATTCCTTCTCATCCAACATCAACAGATATCTAGCTCCTCCATTTACCACATCCTCCTTCGCTGTTGTTGCGTATATAAGCGCTCGGCTTTGATTTTGATATTTATTCAATAGATTTGTTTTGTAATGCGTTTTCCACATTTTGTCTAAGTGAGAAAACATGGTTCGAATCCTGGGTAGGTTGGGACGATTGGGCACCATCCCTTCATTCATCGCCGTGCGCACCAAACAGTTGTTGGGGACCTGCATCATGTTTTTTGGGGAAATCAATTAGATAAAGTTTTACAATGAAGCTGTAGGAGGAAAAATTCTTAGCCGGCAAACACTAGTCAGATCCATCCCTATATCCTTCAATGTAATGTTTCTGTTCACACAGAACTGTGGCGGAGGGACTTTATTGTATTAAGAAAAAGGCCATGCATATATCTCTTTTGTTTACTAGTAAACTAAACAAATCATACAAGTTTTCCTCCGAAGACACCTGCTGTTTCTCCCTCTGTAAACTCACATCACGACTAACGCCCCGCGATAGACTCATTACCTACTCTTCCTACCCCTTAATAAACTTACACCTTCCTCTTCAAAGTAAACTCACCCCTCATATTTCCGACCCGTCGCTAGGCGCACATCTCATGTCTTCAATCAGCAGATTAAAATGTTATTCCTTTGGCTCCTTAGGACGCCTCGACGAAATGAAGAAGGTGGAACGGTTGCGGAGGGAGAATGCAGAGCTCAAGTTTCTGCTGCAGGGCGTCGTCAGCGAGCTGTGAGTTGCTGCATGGTGTTGAAACACACAATGACCTCTTGCAGCCTTTTGTCAAGCTGTTATCTGCTTCAAGAAGTCTCCTGCAAGCTGTGTCCCGCTTACAACAACAACAATAATAATAACAATTCATTGTGTCGGGGGGACAGGAAGCCAGAGTGTATTCATACATGTTAGGCTTTTATCGAGGTCCCCCCCCCACCATTCAAGGTCGAATTACTGACCACGCCCAGGATGCAAGTCCACAACAAGCTGATTAACTCCTGAGTCAGCCCGTCCTCATAAACAAAGACCAAAGTCCATTCCATGCACCTGCCAAACCCCCTGTTTATGAATGAAAACGGTTTACACACGACTTACAACCGATGATGTCCGAACACTTCCGGAACAAGTGAACACTATAAATGTTAGCTGCCGTTTAACTACTTCTTTGGTTTCTTCAGCGTCCTATGACCTGCTACAAGATGTTGTTAAGATCTTGTAACCTGCTGCAGATTGCTATGAGCCGTGTATTGAAGAGTTGTCATGGACCTGTGACTCGTTGAAGGATTTGGTTAACTACTTGTCACCTTCTTCAGGGTGCAGTTGTTCCCATTTCGCTTAATTTTTTATGATAAATTGTAAGGAAGATTAATTCTTGTTACTATATTAAAAATAGATGATATTACACTATTTTTCTCTCTCCTGTATTCTAGCTAAGACGCACCTGATTCATAACATTTAGGTCAGCATATTGTATCCTGATCAGGAATACGGCATCAAAACTTATAATGCAGAAGAAATTTACTATTTTCATAGTATCAATACTTTTATAGCGTGTTTGAAATACATTAGAAAACCCTTGACCCCCTGAAGGATTCGAACCTAGTCAGCCAGGGCCTCCATGCCCCTTTGGCGTGTCCAGTACTATAAACATTCTGCCAACAGACTTTACAAAAGTATTGGAAAGTCGTCTGACTTTTAACTCCAATACCCGACAGCTGTCGTGACCATTTTTGGCACAGATATTTCATCAAATCCCTTCAACATGCTGGGGCCACATGAGTGACATTTGTGCGTCAAGCTTGAAAGGTCCCCAAGCCAACATGCATCATACATACATTCATACATACATACATACATACATACATACATACATACATACATACATACATACATACATACATACATACATACATACATACATACATACATACATGTATCCTCCAAGAGGATTTAGGTGAGCACAACTAGGTGATAAAAATACAACACACACACACACACCTAACACACACATATTAATACAACACACACACATTATAGGTAGGAGCATTTAGGGCGCTTTACACACACACACACACACACATATAATGAAACACACACACACTACTGTGCTACTAAGTGGCTTCGGAATAGGGCATGAAGGGCAGAGAAGAGCTACGAGGAGTGGGGATGGGTTAGAAGCATTAAATATGCCATGCTCGAAACTAGAAGACAGAAGTAATAAAGAGGTGATATGATCACTACATACACTACAATAGTAACAGAATTGATAAAATCGACAGGGAAGACTTCCCGAGACCTGGAATTTCAAGAACAAGAGGTCATAGATTTAAACTAGCTAAACACAGATGCCGAAGAAATATAAGAAAATTCACCTTCGCAAATAGAGTGGTAGACGGTTGGAACAAGTTAAGTGAGAAGGTGGTGGAGGCCAAGACCGTCAGTAGTTTCAAAGCGTTATATGACAAAGAGTGCTGGGAAGACGGGACACCACGAGCGTAGCTCTCATATTGTAACTACACTTAGGTAATTACACACACACACACACACAAAATGGAAATTATTTATAAATTAATAATCAACTCCGGAACACATGACAATATCAAAATACTAAAGCCACTCCTAATATTTCATTTTCTTTCATAAACATTTTTATTGAATAGTGTAAATGTTTCTAGTCTTCAGAATATCTTATTGAGAAACTGTTAACAGTGCCATCAAGACAAGATTAGTTTACCAGAATGTAAATAGTAACATACCGAGAAATCGGCAGATACATCTAGCTGTGGAGATGAAGGCAGCAAGATGGGAGAGGAGGGTCGGGGGAGCACACTAGTTTCCGACTTGCTGGTAAAATATCAATATTTGACAACACAGGAGCAGCAGACGACGCTGACAGGAGGTGGAGGTATTACTCTCTTCTCTCAAGTTTTTCTTCTACCCTCGGAGGACTGTGACAGCCGCGGGGGTGGAGGGCAGCAGTGTTGGTGTGTGTGTGTGTGTGAGGGCAGGGAGGGAGGAATTTGGTTGGTGCGTCTTTGTGTGTGTGTGTGTGTGACACAGCGTGACTTGTGGAATTATGTCACTCTTGTGTCAGACAATATAATAATTCCCGTTGTCGGGGACAGGAAGCCTATATATATATGACTGGCACTGACTGTCATGCTCCCTCTATGACACACCTGGACTACACAAGCTCGCAGAAGGAAAGTAAAAGTTGTGTGAATTACAAACATAGTGAGAGAAACGTTTACCAGAATTTACCTGAGAGCCTCTATCTCTCAAGTGGCCTCGACGAGGACAGGAAGCTAGTGGCTTGTCAAAGATCCTCCCATATATCCTGATGAATTTATCGAGCTGGATTTTGAAATCCATCAGTATTTTAGCATTTTAGGGCTTCAGTGAGAAAGTGGGGAGTTTTTTTTATCGAGGGGTGTCAGTATGACCAAGTGCATGATGCAGGCTGTCAAAATGGGCCCAAAACTGGTATAAAGCACCTAGCATCAAGTGCTACAGCTGACAAGTTTCTCTCTTCAGTTATCTTTAGCTATTGATGAAACAGAAAAGCACTTCTCATTCTCACGTGTATTCTATATTAAATTGCTAAATTGTCATACCAGTTCTGACTCCAAGCACTTTCTAAAGGACTGCAGCTGAACTTTGAGATAAAACGCAAGAAGTATATACATCGAGTGTTCATGGAAAACCCTTGCACAGAGATTCCTAAATTGTCAGAGCAGTCTTGCAAATGTCATATAAGGTTTTATAGTGCATAATTTAACCAATTTAAAAGAAACAAAGAAGCACTGAAAGTAAGTGATATTCTGGTAACTAAATGATATATCAATCACTCTTCATAAAACATTTCCATAGAGCTTTACCCTAAATAAACTGATGATATTTGCTGTTCCAACTTTCCTTATGATTTGTACAAGTTGTTGTGAGTAAAGTTTCTAAGTCTAATGTATTGTAATACCATTAAAATTTATTAAGTTGATTCACATGATGTAAACCCATTTGTAAGTTTTAAGATACACCAAAAATGCTGTCTAGTTTGTGGCTTTATAAAACATAGTATAATGCTGTACCATAAATGTAAATATTATAGCATATCCAATGTATATTTATTGTATGAATAATTACAGTATTATTATTTATTATATTTATTTATAAAGAAAAAATATGTACAGTACTGGCTGTATTACATTTATTGCTCATAGTATGGCATTGTTATCCTACTATTATTAAGGATTACTGTACGGGTACTTGATAAAACTTAGTTTGGAACACATAATAGTGTGATATGGTGGCATTTTGCAGGGGAAAAAATTCACCTGTCCAAGCTTTGGTGAAGCCAAGATTGCCATCAGGTAAGTGAGCAGTTCCCAAGGCGCAGTGGTAAAACACTTGCCTGGTGCTTCGAGAATGATTTGGCCTGGGTTCATATCCTGGCCGGAGAAGATTGACTAGACGCCAATCCTTAACAGTAGCCTCTTCACCCAGCAGTGAATGAGTACCTGGTTGTTATACAATTTGGCAGGTCGTATTCCAGGGAAAATTAGGATTAAGGACCTGCCCGAAATGCTATGCATGCTAGTGGCTTTACAAGAATGTAAGAGCTCTTGTATATAAAAAAAAAAAAGTGGGACCAGACTGCTGTAGCTTCGAGGCCAATCTACCTATTAAGCTAGTTCCTTATTGCCTCGGGTCTGTGTGAGGTTTTCTTTACATTGCTTTATGCCTAGGCAAGTTTAACATTGTGTTAGCCCTTGTGTGAGATAGTTTTGACATACTAAAGAGTTTACACTACTGCTGATGTAGACAAAAACTAAATTGGTTTGATGGGCTGTATGGGCCAAATTTTATTTTACTGGTGGGTATTGCATGTAAGGGAGGTAGGATGTGGGCAGAGAGGTGGTTTTCGGAGATACTGAAACATTTGGTGAAATGTGTGGCCTGTGGGGAAGGGTGTGGCCTTCATAGAAGAGGAGGGGTGTGGCACTAGGGGAGGGGGTGTGGCACTAGGGGAGGGGGTGTGGCATTAGGGGAGGGGGTGTGGCACCAGGGGAGAGGGTGTGGCACAAGAGGAGGTGGTTTGGCATTAGGGGAGGAGGTGTGGCATTAGGGGAGGGGGCATGGCATTAGGGGAGGGGGCGTGGCACTAGGGGAGAGGGTGTGGCACAAGGGGAAAGAGGTTTGGCATGAGGGGAGGGGTTGTGGCACTAGGGGAGGGGTTGTGGCACTAGGGGAGGGGGTGTGGCACAAGGGGAGGGGGGTGTGGTATGAGGGGAGGGGTGTGGCACAAGGGGAGGGGGGTGTGGCACTAGGGGAGGGGGGTGCGGCACAAGGAGAGGGGGGTGTGGCATGAGGGGAGGGGGAGGTGTGGCATGGAAAGAAGGGTGTGTGTGGTGTTAGTGTGGATTTTGTGGGTAATGTAAGGCATGTGGGGAGTACTGTGGGAGGAAATTATTAATAGGAGGGTCATATGGGTAATATGGGTCATATAGGTTTGAGGTGTGAATTGTGGGGAGGTGTTTGGCATATGAGAAGGAGCATTTAAAAGACAATAATGTGTGTGTATAACAGCTTGTTTTATAAAATACAGTAATGTACAGTACTGTATATTCTTATCACATAGCATGATGCTGTGTGATGATGCTGCATGTTAGTAAAGTAACTTAAGAAGATTGTAATGTATAACATCTTTTATAAATCACATGGTACAATGTTTAACATCCATATTTTATTGAAAATGAAGCAACGTGATATTCAGTACCTGTACTTTATATGGCATTTCTGTTTTTGTTTTTCAGGTGACCTCCCAGACTGGCAGTGGAGCATGTAGGGTAGCTACAGTGTAGAGCAGTGTGGCACATGAGCCCACTTGGCATGGGAGAATGTGACAGCTAACTGCAAACTCTAGAATCTCAAGAGATAAGGCTGTGATAATAAAGGATCTGAAGATAATATAGAAATAGGAGATATAGTTAATCTTCACTTTTGTTGACAACTTTTCACAGTACTGTAGTTGTATTTAAAAAGTTCCTTAGAAAAAGGCATAATAGCTAGAAAACAGATTGCTCATACATTATTTATTTATTTATTTATTTATTACTGAAATCTATATCAGTGCTGCTCAAAATACACTTACAAATTATAAATATATATATATATATATAGAGAGAGAGAGAGAGCAGTTAATCAGAATTCCCATTAATAAGGTAGAGGATAGAGATTTTTAACTGCAATAGGCACTACCAATTATTAAGCATAAACTAACATCAATCTTCATCGTTGTCAAACAATATTTTAAGTAATTTTACTGTATGGTTGATTTGGGTACTTATATTTTAAATCATTAAGTCTACAAAGAGACATTTATAGCTCTCGACTAGTTAGGAAGCCAGAATTCTCCGTGGAAGAAAATTCCGCCCTCACCGTAGCCGCCACAGAGCAAAGATGGCGGCAGTTGAGGGTCAGGCCACCCAGCTGGATTTCCATCAAGCTATGGAAGATTTCAAAACCATGTTCCCAGATGTTGATGCTGATGTTATTGAGGTTAGCATATATTTTTACTCCTGTTGTAAATATACATTGGAAAAATATATTGTTTAGAAAGGCGGGGTCCAAGAGCTAATAGCTCAATTCTGCAGATACACATAGTAAATACATTGTTAAATGAAAATATCTCAAAGGCTGTTTACAATCAGACAATTTGTTCACAAATACTTTAATAGAATGTTACCTTTACGCAAGATGGGGGAGGTCTTTCAATGTATGTTGGGTAGAGTGAGAACAGAAACTTTGTGTTGTATCAGGTTTGCTGCTGAGAAGGGAAGTAGTGAACACATTAAGCATTGGAATTATGGATGCAGCCTTCATGTTAATATTTTATCCACTAAGTTGATTGCACAGTGCTAAGTGTAGCACTGTGCAGTCAAGTCAAAAAATTATTGGCTGGTTTGAAGAATACAGTATCCAACAATCATTGGCATGTTTAAAAGAACCATAAAAACAAAATATAAATCATTATTAAATTTTGAGTAATTGTATCAGTTTACATAACCATTCAATGACCCAAACATCATAATATAACATACAAAAGAACAAAGGCAATAATGTTTTAATTACAGTATTATTTAATGTAGTTTCTAAGGTAACTTTCAATAAGGCTCTTTGCTCATTGGTTTTTATTTACCAAAAGAGTTCTTCAATCTGCTAAATTTAAACAACCTTCAAAAGTACTGTATTGTGTTTTGCCAATGATTCCTTATGCTTGGATTTTTTTATTGTGGCACTTTATTAAAGGCTTTAGATACAGAGCACATTAAATGAAAACCCTAGTGTGTGAAGTTGACTGATATCTGATAAAAGGTGAGGAAGTAAGGGAAGATATGTTTTATATAAAATCCTTGATGTGATTCCTTGACGAAATTTTACTGTACTGTATATGGCAGCATGTTTGATAATTTCTTGCTTTGGAATTCTATTGAGGAGCTATTAAATATGCAATTGATTAATTACAATAGTAGCTTTGTTCTACACTATCATTAATTTTTAAGATTAGGATGACATCAGAAGGTTTTCAGCCCTGGTAGCAGCACTTGAAACAACTCAGTCCACCTCACCAAACCTTCGTACATTATTCTGTGTAAGTAAACTGTGGGTATAGGGAAGGTCGGGAATGAAGGAGGGACCACTGGCAACCTTGTTAATGTGCTCAGAAAAGTCCATTTTATATGCTGTACAGTACTGCGCATTCTAATTAAAGCCTATTTTTCTGAGCCATCCCACAAGGTTTCTCGTTGAGAGAAGCCTAAACCTGGGAAGGAAACAAAAAATTATATTCGAGAGAATGGTGAGACAAATCTGGGTCATAGAACAGTGTCTGATTGGAGATTAATGCTAATGTCATTGCATGGTATGGGCCCTAATATAGCACTACTACTGTTCTTCAAAATCAGCCTTGGCTGACTGATTTTTTCCTTCCATTGACAGCAAACGAGTCTATTCAGAAATGAGCTTCACATTTTGACATGAATCCTATTTTTTTAATACTCAGTGTCTCAAGTTATGTGAGTGAGCATTTCTATTTTTCAGTACATTACTGGTAATGGGTATGTTAGCTGTTAGCTCTGTATCTCTTTCTACTGTGGATCTTGGAAGCTTTGCTACCCCCCATTTAACTCTCCTCTGATGGGGTGGCCTTGACAGGTAAACCTTGAGGCTTCCCCTTTCTATGATTAACATATTCTTTTAGCCAGTTCTGCTCTTTTCTATTCTATAAGGACCTTCCTCTTCATCAGGCAGTGTTACGAGCTAACCAAGGAGCTGTTCATGAGACCATTGACCAGCTGTTGACAATGACTACAGACACTGAAGGTCAGAGTGAAGGTGTTGGCAATCAGCTAGTGCCACATGGAGGAAGTGGAGGGGGAGGTGCCAGCAGTGAACTGCCACCATCATATGCCCTCTCTGCGACGCCACCTCCAAGTTATCACCAAGCTGTTCCTTCGCCACATCGTTCTCCACTGTTAGTCCCTAGCAATCTGACTGCATATATATGTTGTAAAAACATTGTGTATTTTTTTAAGCTTATTGAGCAGATGACACATGAACTTCACTTTGACAGTTTTGACCAGTTAATTACGTACAGTACTCTGAATTGTAAACTCAAAATGATTTTTCATTTTCAGATTGAACAGTCATAAAAATTATCTTGTAAATTTATGCTTAGTTCATGCAACAAGTTCATAATGTTTGATTACTTGACTCACAGTGTTTACCAACATTCTGTATGTATGTATGTTAGTTTAATCCATGGGACAGTCAGAATACCATCAATAAAAAATCTTGTTTTCATGTCTTCTGTTTTAGTCCATGTTCAGGGGCCAAAAAAAGTAAAGTTTCCAGTGTTTCCAGATGCAAAGTTTCACATCTTCCATATTATATTCCTCTAATATCCCAATGACACACTATTCCAAATGACTCTACTCACATTTTCCTTCTGTGGTGCAGTGTTCATGCACTCCCTTAATCAGCTTCTAACTATCATGATGCTGGTTGCCTTCCAGTACTCTGTTGTACCTCATTTTTGTGCTGCAGCTTTGCAATTCTAATTGTCTTTTATCATCCACATATGTAAAAGCTACTGCAGAATATGTCTCCTGACACAGACTGTGACCCCACATTTATTTGGTTTTCTCTGTCCTCCCCATCAGCCCTTTCCTAATACCTTTTACTTCTTATTTATTGTTGATGCATGCTTTTCTAAAACTAGTTAACTTCATTAGCTTAAATTCAGTGACTTTTCTTATTTTCATGATCATATAGTACCTTGGACATTGTGTTATAATAATAACTTACTTTAAATGTGTAATAAAATGATATTAATTCAGAAATGGTTGCTGTGCTATCCTAGATGGAAAACTAGTAGATTTCTTGGAGGGGACTGTATGTGTGCATATTTGTTGGTGGATAAAATTACTGACTGCCTTTGGGGGTATATTAATACAGTAATTCATTTTGTCAGGGACAAGAATTCTGTGTATTTATAAACTTTAGACTTACTGTATATTGAAGTCCCACAAGGTTGAACTACTGACCCTCCCAGGATGCAACCCACAACAGTTGCCTAACTCTCGGGTACCTATTTACTGCTAGGTTAACAGATGCATTTGATGAAAGGAAAAGTGTCCAACCATTTCTGTCAGGCCTGTGAATTGAACTCAGGACCCCCAATTGTAAGGCGAGAATGAAACCAACTTTACTTCGAGACATTAATACTGCACTGTACTGTCGTAAAAATGTTGCTGGGTCACACTGAGAATGAGAAAACCATGTTAGAAAACCATTTTGAGAAATATCTTCAGAAAAGGAAAAACATGAATGTATGTGCATTGACTCGAGTTGAAGATGATATTCTATAGGGAAAGTTGGAAGCTGGGGACTTTATAATAGCCCCAGAGTTATACTAACTCAAGAGTTAGTATAAATGGAGTTAAGTTAGTGGGAAAATAATGTAAGTGGAGTGCCTCAAGGCTCTGTCCTGGGCCCTCTGTTATTCATAATGTACCGTATATACTGTAAATAATTTAGATTCTGGTTTTAGCAGCAATGTTTACAAATTTACTGATACAAAAATTGGAAGAGAAATAAACACGGAAAAAGGCACGCTATCACTTTATGACGATCTAAATAGGGTTTTGAAATGCTCAAAAGATTGGCAGATGCAGTTTAATGCTGACAATTGTAAGGTTTTGAGGTTAGGTAATGATGATGGAGTTAGAAGATACTGTACGAGCTAGATGGTGTTGAGATTGCAAAGTCAGAATGCGAAAGGGATCTTGGAGTTATGGTTGGTAAGAATTTAAAACTAAAAAATCAATGCATAGATGTTTGTAATAAGGCAAATAGGACACTGAGATTTATTTCTCGAAGTGTTAGTAATAAAACACTTGGTGTTATTCTTAAGCTATAGCTTGCTCTTCTTAGGTCCAATTTAGATTATGCAGTTCAGTTTTGGTCGCCATACAATAGAATGGAAATAAATTCACTAAAACGTTGGATGACGAAGTTAACCCGCAAATTAGAAACCTGTCATATGAAGAAAGAGTGACAGCTTAATTTACATTTCTAGAAAGTGAAGAATTAGGGGTAACATGATAGAGGTGTACAAGTGGATGAATGAGCATAACAAAGGGGGATATTAATAAGGAATTAAAAGTACAGCATCACCACAAAATAGAACACAAAACAATGGATATAAATTGGATGAATTTAGATTTAGGAAAGACCTGGGGGTAAATACTGGTTCGGTAACAGGGTTGTTGATTTGTGGAACCAGTTACTGCGTAACATAATAGAAGTAGGATCCCTTGATTGTTTCAAGCATAGGTTAAACATATATATATGAATGAGTATGGGTGGATAGAAATAGGAGCTGCCTTGTATGGGCCAGTGGGCCTTCTGCAGTTACCTTCATTCTTGTGTTCTAATAGGCATTGTAACAATTTGTTAATGACAGTGCAGCATAACGACTGGGGCACCAAGTGCTGGGGGGTACAGATGTCTAACAACATCAAAGGCTGGGGATGCTGCCTGCTGGAGGATGTGCCAGTGTTTTGAGATACTGAGATCTGGGGATATAATTGGCTGTGGTCAGTCACTGTTTGTGGTTGATGTACACAGATGGCATGGACCCCAACACCTAGGCATAGCAATAGCTGGAGCTCTGGAGGTGTCAGTTAGTGCATACCAACTGTTTTACACATTATGACAGACATCCATAATGTCTTGGTATCATCTTCATTAACTGATTCTGAAAGGTTTTGTAAATTTTTGGGATGTGTTATTGACATTCTTGTTGACTTTTTAACAGCATAAATATAAACAGTGGTTTCAAGAATTAAGATAATTATTATAGACTGTGATGAATGAGCAGTTGTATACAACGCTCCAATATAATTATATTAATCAAATTAAATCTATGACTTTCTGCTTCGCTCATTCCTTGCAGTCCCCTTAGCTAGATTATATCTATTGTTTATCAGTCAGCTGTACTGTACTACAGTCTCTTGTCATGCAATTCTTCAATTAGATCAGGTCTATTTGTATCTCTTAATGCTTTGACCTCTCTAGGAACTTTCTTTGGAGAAGTTCAATATGAGAGATACCGTCAGGCATACCTGTCTTAACATACCAATCTAGCTTTTTTTTTTTACACTACAGTATTGGATAATGGTCTTCCTGCTTATCAGGGAGTGTTATGGCCTAACCAAATGGAAAGCAAAATAATAGCATACTTAGTCATAACAAGAAACAGATTAATGTACACCACATGCCAGGTTTTCTGCACCATTTTGTTATCATGGTATGTAATACAGTTCTTACTATAGAGCATCGTTGTTGCCCTCCTCATCGTCCTCATCCTAATTGTTGTCCTTATCATCAACATTATTATAATTTCCTACATTTATAGTGTGGGAGACATTCAACTGTATTCAGGAAGACCAAAGGTATTCATTCTGAATGTATTAGAGAAAAATGAATGTTAATACAGATCAATTTTTTCAGTCTTATTCACATATACATGAATGGTATTTCAGGTTGTATTTTTCTTCCTTTAGTCGTGGCGTGCTAGCCCAGTCGGAGGAATGTTTATCACTTCGAGCACAGAGGAACTGGAATCCTCCAATGCTGCTTCCTTTACCAGCTGACTTCCTAAGACTCACGCCCCCTCCCCACCAGGTATGTAGATACAAGTTAATGACACTGGCCTTAAATATGTCATACTTATTGGACAAGTAAAATGTAAGTGGAAATTCTCTTGTATAGCTAATCATTGGTTTGATGAATTGTGATGAATACCTCAAAGACATCCATAAAACTATTAGGCCTCTGGACTTGTACAGGCCTATTGAACATCAGGACCAGAGTCTGGTGTGCTCATAGAGGCAAAGTCAGTATGGGATCTGTGATCAGTCTTCTGAGTAAAAAAAAAAAAAAAAAAAAGACTCATTCCCTTAATGAGGGAGTGAGTCGACCAGTGAGGGTGAGTCGACCAGTGAGGAAGTGAGTCAACCAGTGAGGGAGTGAGTCGACCAGTGAGGGAGTGAGTCGACCAGTGAAAAGCACGAGCCTCTGGAGAGGAAAACATTATTGGAAAACACGTGCCTTTGGAATGGAGAGCACGAACCTTGGGAGTGGAGGCATGAGCCCTCGAAGTGGAGGCACGAGCCCTGGGAGTGGAGGCACGAGCCCTGGGAGTGGAGGCACGAGCCCTGGGAGTGGAGGCACGAGCCCTGGGAGTGGAGGCACGAGCCCTGGGAGTGGAGGCACGAGCCCTGGGAGTGGAGGCACGAGCCCTGGGAGTGGAGGCACGAGCCCTGGGAGTGGAGGCACGAGCCCTGGGAGTGGAGGCACGAGCCCTGGGAGTGGAGGCACGAGCCCTGGGAGTGGAGGCACGAGCCCTGGGAGTGGAGGCACGAGCCCTGGGAGTGGAGGCACGAGCCTTGGGAGTGGAGGCACGAGCCTTGGGAGTGGAGGCACGAGCCCTGGGAGTGGAGGCACGAGCCCTGGGAGTAGTTTACAATTGCCGTATATAATAGATCTTATAAATAATTTATTGTTTTATATTGCACCGCCGGGTGATGGAGCTCTGATCAAATATATATACTGTCAGCATAATTACATTCTCACACTAAATTTAAACCATATTAAGTGCTTGAATTAAGATCCTGGAATTCGGTGACGACATTACTATCACAATGCTAAAAAATGCAAAATAAAAGCTTCATCGAAAATGATGAATTATCTGAAATCTATACTAATATTGAGAATAACCGTATAGTGTATATATACGGTTATATACAGAATAACTATACTGTATATAGAATAACCGTGGAGGTTATACTGTATACAGTATACCTGTGACGCGAACTTGGTGCGCGGTGAACCATTATAAAACAAAATCAACTAAAAGGATCCTGTAGCCTAATGGTCTACGTCGTCGGCTCACAGGCTCGATCCCCGAGCAGGACCGAGACGGTTGGAGAGGTTTCCTTTCACTTAGTCTATTCACATTAGTCACTTAAGTCATGTTTCTATTCACCTAAGAGCAGTAAATAGGTAACGAGGAGTTAGGTAACTGTTGTCGGCTGCATTATGGGGAAGATCACTAGTTGACCTAGGGGGTCCTCAGGAAGCCTAAGTTGTGGCTTCCTGTCCCCGACAAGAGGAAACCAAGTTCCCGTCAACTTGTTTAGTGATGGTTTCCGCGCGGTTTCCCGCCAAGTTCCATATTTGTTTACCTTTACATTTGGTCATCGCCGAAGGTGATATCAATCCTTATATAGAAATATTTCACATATGAATATGTATTTTGTCATATTGAATGGTGAAGATAGGTTAGTGGATTTGAAATTGAAATAAGTTTATTGAGGTAAAATACACACAAAGGGATGAGGTAGCTCAAGCTATTCTCACCCCGTTCAGTACATCGTGTTAATACATACATATACACACATCACAAACAATAAACATATTACCCAACATTCTGAGAGATAAACATATACATTTCCTGGTTAGTGGATAGGTTAGTGATGTAGAGAAGTGGCATGAAGAGTGGGAGTGGCCCCGGGGGGGAATATGGAAGGATAACGCGTGCTGGCAACCGAGGCGCGACCCGATCTAGCAGTGTTCCCGAGTCCAACTTCACCACCACACGTGCGGGTGCCAGTAGTGGCCGGAGCATTACCGCGAGAAGCTGTAGGTTCCCTGCGTCCAGTTAGTCTCCTCCCCTCCGAGTTGGTGATCGGAATCTTCGCAAAACTACGCATTCGGCGAGACGCACCGCATGTTGCTTGTGCTGCGTACAGTAATTGTCGTTGTGTATATTGTCAAGATGTATGGGCATTAGTACCTCAAGTAACGAAGATGTGTACAGACGAGCACAGACTATTTAGCATGGGTGCAGCAGGCAAGCTGTCATGGGAACACAGTTGGAAACGCGAGTACATGAATGTGCCAGGCATTAAAATGGTTTTTTTAAGTGTCAAGTAGTGAATCAATAGAATGCACTATTAAGGAGTGAAGTGGAGGCAGACACCATGCACAGCTTCATATGTAGATATATGACAGATCATAAATTGTTCGGGAACCTAAACGCCAGTCGAGTGACAGTTAACGGGACACAGGAGCTCAAGCTCAACTCCCGCACTCACAACTAGGTAAGTACTGGTGATTGATTGATGAAGATTAAGCCATCCAAAAGGTGGCACAGGCATGAATAGCCCATAAGTGGTGGCCCTTTTGAGCCATTACCAGTATCAATAGATGATACTGGAGATCTGTGGAGGTGCGGCTGCACCCTGCGTGACGGGAGATGTCTCCCGAAAATGTGTCAAGTACCGGTGTGTGAGCCTCCACAGATCTCCAGTATCAGCTCTTGATACTGGTAATGGCTCAAAAGGGCCACCACTTACGGGCTATTCATGCCCGTGCCACCTTTTGGGTGGCTTAATCTTCATCATCGGTGTGTGAGTAAGACTATTAAGAGTGTTCTTAAAAGGGAGTAAGTACTCTGCTGATAAATTGTGAAGTAAGAATTGTTTGAGAGTACTTTATGAGTGTGTTCAAGTGTGTACTCTTGTTATTGTCCATACAGAAGAGTCGGTGTAAGGGGAGTACACACACAATTATTACATTACATTAATTACATTGTATTTCTTATTAACCTTTTTTCTCTTGTTTAACATTATGAATTGAAGGGACTTTTTGGCTTATATTTTGTACATTTGTTAGTGGGTAATTTATCAGTTATTAATATTGTTCGCGGTTTTGTTATATTCGAAGAATAAGATAAGAGTATAGAAGAGGTATGACTATCATCCGTAATTAAGGACAGCCGTAAAACGTATGATCTATACAGCTTAATGTTTCGTCCATCCTAATGAGAGGAAATAGTTTCGTTGTTCAACAGAAAATTCGTATTTGTTGTTCTTGTTTCACGATATATAAATGCCTGAGAAGCTTCCACTGAAGGCGAGTAGTCACAATAACATGACTAAAGAATGTTGACCAGACCACACACACTAGAAGGTGAAGGGACGACGACGTTTCGACTTGAGAGTGGTCCAGGACGGACCGAAACGTCGTCGTCGTCCCTTCACATTCTAGTGTGTGGTCTGCTCAACTTCCACTGAAGGTTGGGTGTGTTTGCATTGAACTGGCTCTTGTTGTTGTGCTTACTTATTACTGATTATCGATGCGTGCTCAAGCATCGGGTTTTCACTTCGTAATTTTCACTTGGTTAGTGTGTGTGTGTATGTGTACCTGGCGATCATGTATAAGCCATGATATGTGAGTGACGCAAGAGACGTCGAGGTGAGCAGTTGCAACACCTGCAGCCAGCCACCAATCAATGTTGCGATAAAAGCACAGACTCGTCGCATGTTACCTTGCATGTGCCCCTGTACTAGTTTTTGTGGGAGTATCTGGCTGTGTAGGTGCACACACACACATTGCTTGAGAAGCTGGGCACACACGCGGACGAGGCTGTGGTCCGCATTAAGCTGCATGTTGGTCCTGGGAGGTTGCCCGCGGCGGTGCGCTTGGCCCCCCACACAAGGGTCGCTCACGCCGTCGCCTCCTGGACCTCTCAAATTGTAGTCGTTTATACGATATCCAGACAATTAAGTATAGAATAATCCATAATTGTACTGATAACCTTTGATCAGGCTTAATGCTGACGAAAATATATACTAGTTAGCGGTGGAATTTGGCATTGTAAAGGAGCTTTAATTAAAGCACCATCTTTGGATGAGTGTCCAATAAGGCATTCTTCGGTCAACACCGGATTCCCTACTGTGGTTCTTACCATCTTCTGGAGGTTATCTTGAGATGATAACCTCAAGATGATGATTGATGATTGAGATCTTCGGGGCTTAGCGTCCCCGCGGCCCGGTCCTCGACCAGGCCTCCTTTTTGTTGCACATTCCCAGGAAGCAGCCCGTAGCAGCTGTCTAACACCCAGGTACCTATTTACTACTAGGTAACAGGGGCATCAGGGTGAAAGAAACTTTTTGCCCATTTGTCTCCGCCTCCACCGGGGATCGAACCCGGAACCTCAGGGCTACGAATCCGAAGCGCTGTCCACCCAGCTGTCAGGCGCCCCCTTACCATATTCATAGCATTATGAAATATTTTAGAATGCAAATATAAAAAAGATTAATCCACACACAATGAAATCACTTGAACATCATGTATCAATGATAAAATCAGTAGGAGCCATGAAGAGGATTCGAACCCCACTCACTTGGTGCTCCCAAGCAAACGCTCTACACCACGACATAATGAAAACAATGCAACCTGGGGTTCCACTGAATCCTCTAGGCTTCCAACTGAGGCCCAGTCAGGGTTTCACGCATCGCCCCGGCCCAACCATTTCCCTTTCACTCTGGCTTTTAATTACAACTACTGGATCACAAGTCAGAGTGCATTTGAGTACTGGGGCGTTTACTTGCGAGTACCAAGTGAGCGAGTTCGAATCCTCATGGCTTCGACTGATTTTATCATTGATACAGCACGTTAATATATCATTGTGCATGAATTAATATTTTTATATTAGCTGTATTTGCATTCTTAAATATTTCATAATGGTGTCAATATGGCAAGAAATATCGACATTGGGGAACCAAAATACCTTCCGTCATTTGTAGGCTTTTTAAATATTTTCTTGGCTTCTCGGT